GAAATGGTAAGATAAGATGGTTTGTGATCAACGATACGAACGACGACAAAGGGCAACAAAAAAAGAAAAAGAAACCCAAGTGACGGAATCTGTAGCGGCCGCGTCAGCACGTCACCGTCCCCGGAGCTCTTGGCTTCTCTGCTACGTTTCATACGAAGCAATGAGGGCGACCGACGGCGCACATCTCGCCCACGACCAGATTCCAGCGCTCCTTGGCGGCCCTGAACATCTTACAGTGGACTGGACCAGGCTGGCCAGGCCTTTTCCTGGCTGCCCCGCTGCCCCATCCCTCACTGCTCACTGCGCGCAAACGGTGTCTCGTGTAAGTCGACACTTCGCTTTGTCAATGATGCGCCGTCATGGCTGAGATTTCATTGCCAAGGCTGCAATACGCGTACAGAATGACGGATGCTGTGATGCCATGCTGTTTGGAGCTTGGCCCATGGTGTCGTTTGCTGCCGTTCGCCTCCCGGTGGAAAAACGACGTCACCGACGACATTCCTGAGATGCAACCACCGAAAGTTGATCCAGATGCCATATACAGAAGAAACTAAAGGGAAGACGAAAGGGTTGCTGACTGGGAGAGAAGCAAGCCACACAAGCGGTGACATGGAGACACCGTTGGGCTGCTGGTATACTGTGGGATAGTGTTGTTTGTGTCTCCGTTGGACTGGGTGTAAGTCGAACCCAACTGTCGTGGCACAAACAAAGCCCCATCTGCAGTACAGCCACACACATGGCCACACACATGTAAAGAGAGGCCTCTTTCTATTGCCTTTTATGTGCGAGCTTGGCTGGGAGAAAACAAGAATCTCCGCTCCTCCCATGCGTTTGTTTGGGCTGCCGTTGCTCCCTGTCGCTCGCCTCTGGACATATACATTTGTCATTTGGTAAGCAAGAGTACGACGGATACGGTGAGCTTACAGAATCCGAACGCCTCGTATGGGAGCAGGGGCAGGGCGAGCTGAGGCGGTCGGCGCCCTCGGGCCAGGCCAGGCGCTCTTGTGCATAGAATCAATCGTATGCGGTGAGAAGCAGGCGCTGCATTTGTCTGTTACGCACCGGCCCGTCACTCTCGCGCCTCGTTTCTATTTCGGTTCCTTCAGCAGCCTCCTACGTCACCGCTCGTGTAGAATACAAACAAAGCAAGTGAGGCGAGTGAGGCAAGCGAGGGAAGAAAGGCAAACAGGGACTGTTACTTTTTGTTGCCGGCCTGTCCCTCCCTCCCCTTCTCGGAGATATAACTGGCTGAGCAGCGACGGTTTTCAGAACGTCAGCAGCCAACGAATTGCTAGAGGTCCGAACAAGTTGCAGCATTGGTCGGAATTCACAGAGACGCAGCTGCCGTGTACAAAGCGAGCTGCATGGCAACGCCCAATCATCAAAGCTGCATATCACTAGTAAACAGTAGACAGTGTTCTCGGCCATCTACAGGCCAATGCAACCTGTGCAGGGTACACAGACACCAAACCGACCCCAGTGCTTCACTTGCATCACATCGCCTGTGCGCGCTTCGCTTGTGTGTTGGGCTTGACTATGCTGCTGTGCTTTTTGGGTTGCAGTCGCCTACACAATGCAAAACAGCATCCGGTAGCGACAAGGCCATGCAGTGGCCCTCCTCTGTACATCAATCCCGAGACCAGGCTGGCACATGGTATGGGAGCGAGTGCTCAGCGTGCGCCCACGCCGTGAATTTTGTTTGCGTTTTATGCAATGCGGTTTGAGACGCAGCTCGTCCTTTTATTTCCATCTGCCTCGATTGACAGAGAGGTGGTGGTAATGATCGGAACCGGAGGAGGCATGGTCCTGGTGTCTTGGCGTTTTATATTCGCCTTTTCTTTTACGACCCCGACCGACGTGCACAAAGCAGAAATAAAAAAGACACCACAAAAAGAACACCCCTGTCATAAGGCTCTCGATTTCGACAAGGCTCGTTTGATACAAAATCAGCCAAAAGTGCAGAAAAGAGTGACGGCCAGCAGCGGCACAATGTGCCGTTTCTGTTGTCGTTTATTTACCTTCTTTCATGGACCGTCCCCACTTTCGCATTTTATTGGACGATGCGTCTTTGAATTCTACCACACATTTTGCCCGACGGGTTCGAGAAGGGTACATGCGAATGATCTGCACGGCAGGCTGTTTTGTACCTGATCCGAGGCGATCAGGAACAAAAGCAAGGGGAAACGGAAAGGCGAAATAAAGCCCAAACGATGTTCGAAGAGACAACCTTTGCTTTGTGCCATTTCCTCTTCCCACCTCGTACGAATTGTACAAGAGTGACTCCTGCTTCCTTTACAACCTTGACAAGACCAGCTCGGGCAAGAACGGTTGGTGCATGTATAAAATTTCACTCTGATGGACGCTTTGATGGATGCGCTGATGATGTATGCTTCAATGTGCTATCGCTTGTCCACAACAACAAAAACAAGTAAAAAAACAGCAGGGGACGAGACGCATTGCAGAGGGATCACATTGATTCTTCTGATCCCTCTTTATGCATGGCTGCTGCTTCTGCTCCCTGTTTTGCCCCTGCTCGTGCAGCTGTTACCGTTTGATTAAAATGGTGTGCCAAAGATCCTAAGCTTTCCATGTTTTTCCGTATCTGCATAACAAACAATCCGATGTTGCAGCTGAACGTGCAACGGCAGCTGTAGTTGTCACTTTCCGAACCCCCCGTTAGGAGCATGACGATCGCCTCTTTGCCGATGCCGGGCTTGTTCGTATCGTGAAAAATGACTGTCGTGTAGCCAATCCGTCCTCTCCATCAACGTCCGTAGCCTGTTGACGTCCTTTGAGAAGGCACACGATTTGGACAAGTTGTAGGCGTCGATAGCTCGTCATTTTTTGCAAGAAAATATGACAGGCGGGAGCACATATGGTGGTTGTGTCTTGCAAGACATGGATTTTGTTGTATTTCTTGCATATCATGCATATCATGCATACCGTCATGTACTCTAAGGATGCGCGTATATTGCTGGGATCGTCTGAGACATTCTACAATCACCTTTGAAGCTACGAGGAAGTGAACCCATCGGGTTCAGCAATAGGATGATCTGGGGTAGGAAGGCGTCTCGTCATTTTACGCAACAGTGCGACAGAACCTGTTCCTCCTCCTCCTCCGATATCATAATACCTTTAGAAGTACTCCGGCGTCGTACGGCATAGTGTTTGTTCATGTGCCTTGCCTTGCCTGCCTCGCCTGCCTCGCCTGCCTCGCCTGCCTCGCCTGCCTCGCCTGTTCGCCCTGCATGGAGGATGTCTCACAGCGTCGAGGCGAAATTGCACGTCCCCCATTTTCGTCACGGCAAGGCCATTGTGCCTCTCGTTCTCGCGTCCTCGCAGCAGTTGTCTTCCGTTATGCGATGGGTCGGGACTCGCACATATCGAACCGCATTGTATGCCATCGTGACAACCTGCTGCCTTGGGGGAAACCAGATCACCTATTCCGTCCGGAAGGGCCTCGTCACTTTGTCCCCTACCTCGGCCGCATCGACGTGCTAATGACGGGGCGTTTTCTGTAAAATTGACAGTCTGTATCGTCCAAATATTGTTTCAATTTCCCTTTGCATTTTGTATTCCACATTTTCGGCAAAGGTCCTTCCTGGAAGAAGGAGTAGGAACAACCTCGTTCTCCTTTTCCTTCAAGCTATCCCTTGCAGCACGTTCTCGGCAACAAAAAGGCTGTGGGCATGGTTCGTGAACCGTTGCTTGTCGTAGTATAGTGTATGTTTTTGTATTTCGTCCGCATCTGGTCCATCGTGGCTAATATAAAGCAACCTTTTCTCCCAACGTCCTGGGCCAAACACGCTATGGAGAACTCTCAAAAAACAGTCCGTCATGCGCCGTATTATTTCCCAATGAAAAAAAAAAAAGAATACATAAAAATATAAAAAAGAGGCACAAAGAGCCGCTCATTGCAATGAAATTTTGGTACGAAATGGTAAGGTCAAAGCCTCGAATCCGTCTTGGATTGTTGGGGCGTTGGGGAGTTGGGTCGTTTGGTCGTTGGGTTGTTCGGTCGTTCGGTCGTTCGGTCGTTCGGTCATCGGGGCGAGTGTTTTAATTGCCGACGAAAACGGAGACCTGCCATTGGGAATATCGTTAGCAACAGGTCACTGTGGGAAGCGAACTACAGGAAGCGAGAGGGTTGTCCACGAACCGCCATGAGGACGCAACACAAGCTGATGTACGGGCTCAGTCTCTCGCCTATCCGTGCACACTTCCAGAAGATACCCATCAGGCTGTTCAAAAAAGGTCTGTTAGCGCTTTTATTCGAATGAGAATGGCGACGCCGTCCGCCGGGCTAGAAAGGACATACCCATGCTTGCGGCTGTCAAGCAGTCTCGGAAAGATCTGGTGCACGTAGGCGCTGGTGCAGATGAGAAGGAGGATGACGAGAAGCAGCGACTGGAAGTTGAAGAGGGCCGACTGGAGGACAGGAGAAAGGGGGTTAGCAAGGCTCCTAAAAGTCGGCGTCGGGGAGGACGGGGGGATGCATCGCTCACCATTGTGACGGGGGGATCAATGGCCAGTACAGAAAAAGAGGACGGGATCAGTGACGCTGCGAGATGGTGAGAGTGTGTCGGGCTGTTCGTTGGCAACACGTTGGTCTTTGGCGATTTGGCGATTTGGCGATTTTGGATTCTGGATGCAGGCCAGAGTTGAGCACTACGTATGTCCCAAGCGGCCGTCTGGCCAGGGAAGGAACACGATTGGCTGGAAGGCGCTAGGCTGTGGCGCGAGAGAGCTCCTGCCCTCGCAGCCTGGTCCACAACTAGCGCACTTTCCAACGTTAGCAAGCGGCTGCACTTTTGAGACTCAACCATCATTTTGTGTTTTTGTCTGGTTTGGAGCAAATCTCCATCACCTCCAGCCGCGCATACCAACAAACGACTAACGAGTTTACCTTGGGCACCTGCATCACAACCACCGTCTTTCTATCCCTCCACCCATGACCGCAGCGCAGCCGCCACGGCCACGCCCACCGCCCACTTCCCATCATGGAGCCGAGAGCGCGTGCCGGCAAGAATGTCGGCAAGATGAACTTTGGCTACGGCGAGCGTGAGTGGAAGGCTTGTCTGCTGCAGTTGCGTACGTGACGAAACTAACCGTGCCTTTCGATTGCCAGTTCGCCAGCTCCTGTACGGCGGAGGCGACGCCCGCGATCCCCTCCCCGAGACGATGCGCGTGCTCGACGAAATCGCCACCGACTTCATCCAGAGCCTCTCCTTTGAGGCCGCCCGCATCGGCCAGTACTCGGGTCGCCAGAAGATCAAGTATGAAGACTTTGAGTTTGCCCTGCGGCGCAACCCGCTCTTCCTCGGCAAAGTGCGCGAAATGTTTGAAATGAGCAAGGAAGTTAAGGACGCGCGCAAGATGCCGGGCATCGGCGAGGGCAACATGGGCAAGGCCGACATCAATGACCTGGCAAAGCTCGGCGAGGGCGATGAGGGTGGGGAGGGGACCAACAAGAACGGCGAGGGCCCGAGTGCCAGCGGAGCCGCCGCGAGTGCTACGCCGACCAGCGGAACCGGCCGTGGTAAGAAGCGCGGACCCTACGCGAAGACAGCAGGCAAGCGGAAGAAGGCCAAGATGGAGCAGGAGGCGGCTGAAGCGGCGGCCGCCGAAGCAGCAGCCGCCACCGCCAAAGATGACGACGGTGGCGTCGTCAACGTCAAGGAGGAGCCGGCGGACGATACGACACAAGGAACAAGAGGCGCCACGGCAGACACGGCGGACGGCGCCGCAGACGAAGAGCCAGATGCAGAAGAGCCATCAAATCTCGATGCGCTCTTTGGTGGCGGCGACGACGCGGATGCCGACGGGGACGACGACCTGGGATTCTGATGCGGATTCCAGGGTTATCAGGATATTTCTGTTTGTGGACCCTTGCCAAGAGTTTACCCTGCCCTCCCATTTGGCTACGTCGTGTGCTCCGTGAGGGAAGGTGCAAATTTGCGCCGGTGCGCGCCATCTGCAATCCGTCTCTTTTCGACGGCACGCTTTTCTTGTCGTGCCTCCTTCCACCTGGCTTCACTCTCAGACCGTCTCTTTTTGCTTCTTTTCCTTCATGTTCTTCTTATACTCGTATTTCTATGCATCATCTCGATGGTGCTCACCATGACAGCACGGCGTTGGGTTATTTTGCGGCCATAGCATGTTGGGAAGGCGTTTTTTATTGTTTATAAACGTTTCAACAAATCATATGACGATTTGGGGATCCAGTTGGTGTCAGCTTTGGAATGCAAAATATTTCCAATTATTTTTCTAGTCCTAGGAGACGTGAACGAAACAAGACAAGACATAAGACTGAAAAAAGGGAGGAAACATCATGATGCCTTGCGACGTCCCTGTCGTCGTCCCTTAACAACGACGATGACTAAGCGTGGCTTCTGCACGGCGCTCCAATCCACCAGGTCGCATTTCCTTTAGGGGGGTCACAGGGAGCACAGCGAGGTCAGCGGCCCGTGTTAGCTCCAGCGCAGCTGCAGTGGCCACGGGGCGTGTTGGGTCCGCACCTTCCTGTCACAAGCTCACCCAATTTCAAGGAGATTGGCCAGAACGGTAGGCACGACCGACAAAAGACAGCTTTCGCCTGACCCACCGTCACCACATCGCAGCGCAACCCACTCTCTCCTTTTCTTGCTGTCCTGCTCGCGAGCATTCTCCACGCTGTGCACCCTTGGCCATCTCGCATCACTCCTGCGTGCCTCCATTGTCTCTCTACGCGCACAACGAGCTCGCGCGATTTCTAGCTTCGGCAGCCCTATCATGGAAGCAGCTGCCTCGTGATCTCCAAACTTCGAAAGGAAACAAACCGAAAGGAAACAAACAAACAAAAACACTTGAGCTGCATCGAACCGAAACGCGGCCTGGCTCGCGTCCTCGACTGACCTCGACTGACCTCGACGTTGTCTCGCAACCTCTTCCTTTCTCTCCCTTTTTCTCCCATCAAACCACCTTTTCTCGCAATGGCCATGAACAACCACTTTGTCGCTGTCGGCGAGGAGCCGAAGCCCGAGGACTTTGGCCATGGCATCCAGGTCATTGACGAGGACAAGGCCTTTTCGTGCGTCTCCTCGGTCCTTCGCGTCGCCTGAGCTTGTGCTTGTGCTTGCTGCGCGGCCCTTCTGCTAACACGTCTCCATCGCATAGGACACACGTCAATGACTACCTCCGCAAGACGCACGTGGCCGAGGCCGGCTTCAACTACCACCTCATCTCCGTCTTTGGCTCCCAGTCCACCGGCAAGTCCACGCTGCTGAACCACCTCTTCGGCACCGAGTTCAGCGTCATGGCCGAGTCCGAGCGCCGCCAGACCACAAAGGGCATATGGATGTCCAAGAACAAAAAGGGCGCCGGGTCCATGGCCGACAACATTCTGGTCATGGACGTGGAGGGCACCGACGGCCGCGAGCGTGGCGAGGACCAGGACTTTGAGCGCAAGAGCGCGCTCTTTGCCCTCGCCACCAGCGAGGTCCTCATTGTCAACATCTGGGAGCACCAGGTCGGCCTGTACCAGGGCGCCAACATGGGCCTGCTCAAGACCGTCTTCGAGGTCAACCTGCAGCTGTTCCTCAAGGACCGCCAGGCTACCCCGCGCTCCCTCCTCTTCTTTGTCATTCGCGACTTCATCGGCAACACCCCGCTGTCCAACCTGCGCAACACCTTGGTGCAGGACCTGACCAAGATCTGGTCCTCCATCTCCAAGCCCGCCGGCCTCGAGAACGCCACCATCGACGACTACTTTGATTTTGCCTTTGCCGCCCTGCCCCACAAGATCCTGCAGCCCGACAAGTTCGTCACCGAAGTCGATACCCTCGGCCGCCGCTTCGTCGCCGGCCACCGCTCCACGACCGACCAGGAGTTTGTCGGCGGCGTCTTCTTGCCCGAGTACCACCGCCGGATACCAGCAGACGGCTTCTCCGTCTACGCCGAGGGTGTCTGGGACCAGATTGTCAATAACAAGGACCTCGACCTGCCCACCCAGCAGGAGCTGCTTGCCCAGTTTCGTTGCGACGAGATTGCGCGCGAGGCCCTCGTCGTCTTTGACGAGACCATCCTGCCCCTCGAGCAGGAGCAGGCCGACAGTGTGCGGCTGGGCCGATCCGTCGTCTTGGCCGGCCTTGGCACTGCCGGTGCCGCATCACGTGCCGCCTGTCTCGAGCTGTTCCAGACGCAGGCCGGCCGCTACCACAAGGGCGTCTTTACGCGCAAGCTCGCGGAACTGGGCGACAAGGTGGACGGCCGTCTCAAGACGCTGTACCAGGGCCAGCTGGCTGCGTCGCACAAGGCCGGTGTTGCGTCGTTTACCGAGGCGGTGACGAGCTCCGTCAAGGCCGGCCAAAAGGCTGGCGGCAACTACGAATTTGCCGAGATTGTCGAGACCGAAAAGGCCAAGGCGCTCAAGACCTTCAAGACGGAGGCCCAAGGTCTGGCTATCCCCGAGGTCGCCTGGACCAACTTCAAGCCGCAGTACCTGCTTTTTGAGAAGGAGCTCGACGAGGTCAGCGGCAAGCTGCGCAAGGAGGAGATGCGCCGTCTGGCCACGCGCGTGGAGCGCTGGGTCAAGTCGCGTCTCGGCGATGCGGTGGGGCTCGAGTTCAACAAGCTGGGCTCCGGTCGCGCGGGCGGCGGCGCACCCGACGTGTCGGCATCCTCCTCTGCATCCATCAGCAGTGCCAACGCGCCTCCCTCTGAAAAGGACCTGTGGGACCGCGTCTGGACGGTGTTTGTGGGCATCGTTGAGGAGGCGCAAGACCGTTTCACGGAACGCGCCAAGAGCTTCGATGCCAGCGAGGCCGAGGTCCAGATCGGCTTGTGGCGCCTGCGGCGCAAGAGCTGGGTGGCGCTGCGCGAGCGAATTGACGAGGAGGTCATGGAAGGCAACATTCTCCTCAAGCTGCGGGAGAACTTTGAGGACAAGTTCCGCTACGACGACGCTGGCGTGCCGCGCATCTGGCGGCCCAGCGACGACATTGAGGGCATCTACACGCGCGCGCGCGAGTCCACGCTCACCCTCATCCCGCTGTTGGCCCGCTTCCGCCTGGCTGCCACCATTGCGCCGCCCGACCTGCCCGAGTGGATCGGCAACCAGCCGGCCGGCGTCGAGCCCGAGGACGAGGACGACCTGACGCCCATTGGCGGCGTCGACGAAGAGGAGGGCAAGAGCCTTGAGGAGGAAATGACCGTGCTCAGCGAGAGCAAGCGCCAGGACCTCGTCATCCGCTTCAAGAAGACGGCCGACGGCGTGTACGTCGAGGCCAAGCGCGGCGCTCTGGGCGGCATCACGCAGGTGCCCCTGTATTTTTACGGCATCCTGCTCATGCTGGGCTGGAACGAGATTCTTGCCGTGCTGCGGAACCCCTTCTTGTTCCTGCTGCTGGCCATTTTTGCGGGCGGCACCTATGTCGCGTACAGCCTGTCTCTGCTCGGCCCCATGATGCAGATGGCCAACGCGGCATCGAACCAGGCCGTCGAGATTGGCAAGCAGAAGCTGCGCGACTTTATCAACAACAACGACTCCGCGCGCCAGGCTCTGGCCATGCCGGCTCGAAGCGACAGCACGAGCAGCAGCAGCGACAACATCCACATGGATACGCTCAACTCCAGTGGACGGAGGCAAAACACGACGACACGCATTGACGACGACGACATCTGATTTATTTTTGATGCACCGATTCTTTCCGAATTCTAGTATTCTTTACAACTATTCTTTACAGCTACATAAAAATGAGACATACATGGGACGACACCGGTTGGGCACATGGCATGATGGAGACGAGGGACGGTGCTGGACCAGAACGGCGTGGCACAGCGATTTCCATGTTGCATTGTTTTAATTGGTATGAAATGACTTGGTTGTACACATATGTATCCGTTGGTGTCTCAATAATACACACAAATTCACTCCCATTCCAAAAGCGCACGTCGCCAAAGAGGAAATAAATCACATTTGGATGCACAAACGGAAAAATCAAACCCAGGCCAAGACCCCAAGAACGCCTTACGCCCAAACCCTAGCATCGATACTAGAAGACCTCCGTCCCGACTGGTTGGCCAAACCACGATCCCAGCTCGTCCACCACATCCTCATCGTCAGCGTTCTTGGCCGCCGCTGATGCAGTAAAAAAGTCCGTCATCCGCGTCACCGCAAACTCGTTGTCGGGCGTGTCCTCGTCGGGCTCGGGCCAGTCCACCTGCACGCCGCCATTCTTCTTGCTGTCTTCCAGCATGTCCTTGGCCGTGCTCCAGCTGAAGCGGCACTCGGGGCCCCAGCCAAACAGCGGGTGCATGTTGCGCCGCAGCCACGTCGTGCACCGGGCGTCGGACGGGTAGCCCGAGCCCCAGCTGGGCGTGGTTGCGGCACCTGCTGCGCCTTCCGTTGTTGCCAGCGCACCAGCATACCGTTTGTAGAGCACTTCCAGCGCCACGTCGCGCGTTACCTTGGCACAGACCGATGCCGCCGACACACACGGGTACAGGGAGTCGGCCTTTTTCGACACCGTGATTCGCAGGCCGGGGAAGTAGCGCTCCAGCTTCTTTTGGTACGATGCCGGCGGGCCCACGGTGTCGACATAGACGTCCGTCACCCGCACGCCGCGCGCCAGGACCCCGCGGATGAGGCCGACGGTCGACTCGGCGGCTTGTGCGTTGAGGTTGCCCGCCGCTGCCGTGGGCGACATCATGCCGGCCCCAATGTCGCGCGCCGACAGCAGCTCCACGGCCCAGCCGCAGTTGCTGTGCAGCTTGGAGCCGCTGCGGCAGACGGTGGCCATGAGCGTCGACCGGACGGCCGCCGACAAGACCTTGGAGTCGTCAAAGCGGTGCGGGGCGCCAGTCACGGCGTCTCGGTCGGCATCGGGCGCCTCGCCGCGCAGGAGAGCGTCGGCCAGGTCCACGGGGGCATAAAAGACGCCGTAGACCATGGGGCCGAGCACCGGACCACGTCCGGCCTCGTCGACGCCCAGAACACACGGGACCGCCTCGGCTAATGGGCCGCCGTTGGCGTCGCCGTCTGTGGCGTCGTTGGTCACATGCGCTGTTGGTGCCAGGAGGCAGGACGGAACTGGGGAGTAGTGGGAGTATGATGCACCCGAAAGCAGGACATGCTCGTCGATTGAAGGCGGCACAAACTCGCCCGATGTCGTCTCGAAGACGGCGTCCTCCTCAGTCATCTGAGTGTCGTCGTCCATGGTCATGGGAGAGGCGCGGGGCGGGGTGTTAGGTTCAGCCGAAAATAAGAAGCCGTTTCGTATGCCTGACAGAATGTACGTGTGTATGCGCAGTGGCGTCAATGTCGATTGTGGTATGAACTGGCAGGCTGTTTCTTCGCATTGTGATGTGGAGGTTGTTCGTCCAAAGTGATGCCCCTTTGGGCAACTGTTATCGATAAGGCAGTTGGCGCGCAGAGGGAGACGCGTTGCGCTGGAGAATGCCCCAAAGAGCAGACGCGTTTTTAGGTACCTTCCCGCAACAGCACTCCAGCCAATCAGCCGCGCTGGCGCCTCGTACCTGCCCCAGCTGACGCTCTGGCATACAGGCGGCCCTGGCTAAAGTGGTGTGCGGACAGCGCCCAACATTGGCATGCGAGGAAAGTGCGACAAGGTGGATGTTTTCTCTCTTTCCCGCGAGACCTTGCATTAAACATAACAAGGTAGTCGCGACCGGCTCTCTCCACGGAAGCCACCACCGAGCTTCAGATTTACAATCTCGCACTCCTCGTTATTCGGACACAAATCAGACAGGACAGAGAACGTGTTTGGACGCAATTGAACAGCTCCCACGATAACCTTCCACACGACCCGCCGCTTTGCTTTTGACGCGTATCCTGCGACGCGACACAATCGAGCATCGGCCTTCCGACCACCGAACCATCGCCACCCTTGACGATCACGACGACAAAGAGACTCTGTTTTGTCCCAACAGCAGAGCTTCACAACAATGGCACCTCCACGGGGCGGCGGCCGGCGCTCAACGCAGACCAGCGAGCACATCTACAAGCTCGGCGAACGCGGACGGTAAGGCTGGGATGCTTGTTGCGCATGTATTGTGGAAGGAGGAGGAGGGGCGGGGGGAGGGGCGGAATCTGCAAGATGCTATTTACGGTCGCTGACAGCATTGGGGCTCAGGAAAACGGGCGTAACACTACGCGACACCGGCGTGCGCGACGAGCATGGTATGGAGCCGATTGACGACATCTTTTCGTCACCAGCCAAGGGAAACTCGGACAATGGCGACGAGGAGGAGGAAGATGATGAGGAGGAAGGGGAGGAAGCCGACGAAGACGACGACGACGATGAGAATGGCGAGGCGCCCATGGACCTCACAACTGGTAAGAGAATTCACTGAATGCCCCTCTTTCCCCGAAACGCAACCTGCTGACGCTTGTCTCCTTGCATAGGCTCGGGCTTAGACCCTGCGGCTATGATTAACGGTCAAGGCGCATTCGGTGCGCGCAGGTCGCCCGCCAAGACACTCTTTGGCTCACCTGCTGTGCGCGGCTCGGCGTCCAAGAAGACTGCTGCGATCCGCCAAAACCCGCTCTTGCGCCCGCCATCGTCGCCCTCGGCAAATACCATCCACCAGACGAGCAGCCCCAGCAAGCCGGTAAAGCGGCGCCTCGACTACGGCAAGAACACAGCGGCCTCTGCACAGCGCCGGCCGTTTACGCTTGCGCCCCCCGCTGGCGCCAACGCGCGGCGCCAGCACCTGCTGGAGGACGAGGAGGAGGACAACGACGAAGAGAGTAACATTCTCCAAGGCGGCCACGGCGACGAGGACTCCATGCAGATTGTGGGCGGGCCGGACAGCTACGACGAAAACGTGGATCCCGAACCGCTCGAGGAAGAGTTGCCGGCGCGTCCGGCTGCACAAGTCAAGCGGCGCGCTGGCAGACCGCCAGGAAAGGGCAAGTCTCCCGCTACCAAGTCGCCAGCAGCCTCCAAGAAACTACCCCCAGGCCCGCAACAAATTCCCAGCTCTGTTCCCAAGAAGCGAGGACGGCCAGCCGCCGCAGCACCAGCCCCAGCTACACAAGATACCGAAGACGGGGCGCAAAACGCAAAACGCCGGCGTTTAGCAGCAGGTGCGGAAGAGGACCCGCCCAAGCCCAAGGGCCGGCCAAGGGGACGACCAGCAGCAGCGGTGGCCAAGCGCGCACCGGCCGACGAGGAGACACAACCGGAGGAGCAGCCAGAAGAGCCCGCCGACGATGCGGCACCGAAAAAGAGGGGCCGGAAGCGCAAGTCGTCTGGCGTGGGGGCGGCGACAGCAGCAGCCGCCGCCGTCCCGCGCGGGCCGCCACTACCAAAGAGCCGCGGCTTGGTGGTCCGGCGGCGGGAGGTTGCGGAGGGCAGTGGCGACCTGGTGAAAACCCGCTCGGGCCGCAGCTCGTTCCGCCCGCTGGCCTTTTGGCGCAACGAGCATGTGGAGTTTGACCCCAACGACGTGCAGCAGGACGGCTTCGGCCGCAAGACGAACAACAGCAAGTTCTTGCTGCCCACGATCAAGGACATTGTCCGCGTAGACGAAGAAGTCTTGCCCCGTAGCTACGGCCCGGGCGGCAGCCGGCGTGGTGGTGGTGGTGGTGGTGGTGGCGCAAAGCGCGGCCGCAAGCGGCGACCGACGGGCGACGCCGACGGCGGTGACAACGAGCCCGACCGCGACGCATGGGAGGCGAATCCGGGTAAGGTGTCTGGCGACATAGTGGTGTGGTACCCGGAGCACGAGCTGGATCCGCCGGCACTTGGCCAAAACGTGGAGATGACGTCGGCCGAAATTGCGCTGTCGGACGCGGCGATCCAGACGCACGAGGTGCGCGGCGGCACCTTCCGGTTCGTCAAGACGCTGAGCTTGCCGTTCTTTGGCACAGGCATGGTGGACATGCCGCCCGGGTCGGAGAAGAAGCTCAAGAACTCGCGCAAGATGCACATGACATTTTTTGTGCACTATGGCCATGTCCTGGTCAAGGTCAACGAGTCCGAGTTCCGCATTGCCAAGGGTGGCATGTGGTCCGTCCCGCGAGGTAAGCTAGTCGCACTGGCCGGCACACAAGCTTTCCCCTTTCAATTTTTATTTTATTTTTTTATTTTTTTATTTGCCCCGTTTCCATGCTAACCAACACAGGCAACTATTACAGCATCACCAACGACAAGGACTACCCGGCCCGCGTGTTCTTCGCACAAGGCTGTGAGATTTTGGCGCCCGTCGAGCTGGACGAAGACGACCGAGGAAATCAATAAGTGGCCCGGCCGTGGCAGATGGATGATCATCTTATGCGTTCTCCCCTTTTATCTGGTGTTCTTTTCTAGCTTTTGGTTCGCCTTGCTTCTGTTATCTTCCCTGGACTTGTATGATTGTGCGAGAGGAGCACCGCAGTTATCCGCGATGTTTATGTTATTTGACACCTTGTCTATCTTTGGTTTCGGGGTATACTTGCAACGTTTTTATGTTGTTTTTTTTTCCTCATTTTTCTTTCCTTTCTATTATATCGATTTTCTGGCGTCACCAAAAATTACTTTTTTTTTCTCCATGGCCAAACCTCGTCTTTATGTAGGTTCTTCGATCCCGAATTGTAATTTGTCGCGTGTGAAATAGCCGCCTTTTGCGCAGTCCAATACAGCACACGGCACGACGCACAATGACTTGCAGCCAAGGTGCAGCTCACTCACGCCACGGGACAAAACGGTACGGCAGACATAAAATAAGCATGCGACGACCTGTAACTCGCAGCTGTCACTCAACAAATTGAGACCCACATATACAGACCGAGCGAGTCCTCTGATTGGCCAATTGATCCACGCTTCATCCAATTTTATCTGCCTCGTCTTCTGGCGATTTCTGGAGCTTCCTCCACAGCTATAAGCTGCGTTTTACGGGGTCGAACGCAAAAGAGCCATTTTCTGCTCCTTGGCTTTTTTTGTCTTTATTCTGGGGCCAATCCTGCTGGTCATTTTGCCGCGGGAACCACAATATACTTTCTGCGGCGTTGTGCTCCATAACGTACCTCGGGATAGAAGTGACAAAAGGGGGCGCCGTGACTGCTTGTTTGCATGTCGTTATTATTTTTATTTTCGATTCTACGAAATACAGGTCCACTCAATGGCCCTGCCATTGTCATCTCAAGGAGGTTGTTCCGACGCTGTGCGCGCACATATGTCTCACTATATTAGTGTGTGCAGTACAATTTACTGCACACCACCTGCCCTTTGTACCAAAGTCTAAACGCCTCTGGAAAAGCATGTGCCTCGCTTGGTGGGTCGCGTTGCAACCCGTTCGCCGCTTCCGCCAACGTCTGCCACGGACATATGGAAGTTGACGAGCGACGCAGCAGGAAGGCGCGACGTACAAGAAGACAAGCATGCATAGAAAGACACAGCGGTTTAGCAGCAAGGAGCAGGTGAGTTGGAGCGAGACGAGAAACCCGCAGCAAAGGAAGCTGCGAACAACCAAAGGGCGCCCGCCAACAGCCACCAAACTGCCAAAACCTGGAAATACGATGACGGACAGAAGGCGCGAAACGCACCCAATATGCGTTAGGCGGAACCGGCCGGCTTGGAAAGAACGGACAAGCGACCTACATTTGTGGTAGGGCAGGGAAGGCGCGGCCCTCTCACCTCACTACAGGAAAGAAGAGAGGCTAACAATGCCGGAGAAGGTTAGCTGAAGCGTGCGGGCCTGACGACAGTTAAGCCAGCCCATCGTTGGGTCTTGTAAGCTCTGAGCGCTAAGACATCTGCCCAGTGTAAGGCACCCCGGTTTTTTGGTGCATTTCGGAGTTCATTTGGAGTCCTTTTTCGTCTCTCCACCCCTCACTGATGTGTTTTGCCTCGCCTCAAAGTACCCGTGGCTCTAGTAGCTCGGCGCGAGGGTCGCTCTTGCCTCTCTGCTCGGCTTGTCTCGATCGCTTTAGACGTTCTTGCTTCTTGTTTCTCTTTCTGCTTTTTCTCTTTTCTCTCTCCTTTTTTCTGCTTCTTTTTTGAACTTTTCTCCATACTCTCTCTGGCCTCTCCATTTGCATTTTGCTGTTTTCTCCAATAACACGGGACATTTCCCAATCGAGGCATACACGAGCAAACAGTTGCAGCCGCACAACAAAGCAACCACTTCCCTTTACAAAGACAGCATAGAGTCAGTCCATAACCGGAACTGGCACGACTTTCGAGACACGACAACGACCGTTGGATTTACGAATTGCTTCATTTTTGGCTTTTGATTTAGTTTTCCAGATTTCCAGATCTTCGGTTTGCCATATTGCCTTCTGAGATACCCCGTCCCATCCCCAACATACGCAATGTCGGCCCCCCTGAAACCCCACTGGGTGCAGCCCTCCCACCCAGAGATCCAGGAAGTGCTCATCGGCTCCAACGGCGACAGCGAGTTCACCACAAAGAGCATTTCCCGCGTCGACCTGCCCCCTTTTGCGCTCTTCGCGCCCATGGCCAGCCCGCCGGTCACTCCCGCCGCCGCTGCCACATACGCCACTGTCCAGGTTGGCCGCAACCAGCACATCAACTTGAACAGCGATCTCCTGTACATTAACCACTCCTGCGAGCCATCTCTGGTATGTATGATTGGAGAGCTGTCGTGTTTTTATGTATTTGGCTGTTTATCTATTTATTTATTTTTTTCATGTCCCTGGAGCTTCGTTTGAACTGACCTCCTTTTGTGCTTCTCCAGCTCTTCGATACCTCCAGCCGCAACGTCTGGGTCGGCCCCAAGGGCCTCAAGGCCGGCGACGAGCTCACGTTCTTCTATCCCTCTACCGAGTGGGACATGGCCCAGCCCTTTACGTGCTTCTGCGGCACGCCCTCGTGCCGCGGCCGCATTAGCGGCGCTCGCAGCATGACACAAGACCAGCTGGCTGGTCTGTGGCTGAACGGCCACATCTGGGAGCTCCTCAACGAGCAGAGGCAGCAGAAGCAGCAGCAGTCGAAGACGGCAAGACCTGAGAATGGCACGTCTTCGCACGCCGCCGCGGCTGCCAACGCCCCGTCTGCCATTGAGCAGGCGCTCAAGGAGGAGCTGGCCCGCGCCGAGGAATCCCTACACAAGGCTGACCAGGCCACTGAGGCTGCCCGCCGCGCGCTGGCCGCGCACCGCAGCGGTCTCGCCACGAACGGCAAGGCCCACACCAGCAACGGCACCAACGGCACCACCAATGGTGTCAATGGCACCAACGGCGTGAGCAAGCCGGTCCCCAACGATGAAGCTCGCCACGGAACGTCGTCACGGGAGCTGGGCGGCGAGTTGGGTGGCGATACTGCCGAGCGTGCGTAAAAGGGTGGGCGGAGGGGTACGCGGGACGCAAAGGTAGAACAAGGTGTGCATCGTACAGGGCGGAAGATTATGGGGTAGTGGTTTGATCTATGAGCATGGTTTGCCTGGCCAGACCCAGGCTCCAGGGCATGCTCTCTTGATGTTTGATATTCATTTTGTATTTATTTTGGCCTTCAGATTCAACATCTATGGTCCTGTCGAATTTTGTTATGCAACATATAAAACAAATCTATAACTAGGGACTAACAAATGAAAAAAATTCACATTTATTTACTTTTTGAATTTACCTCCTAAATATGTCAAACAAAGCAAATACTTATTCGGGTGTGTTTATAACGTGGTATTTATTATATTTATTGCTATGTTTTTATCGAGCAACGTATTTATCTAAAATCAGTTCTGTCCCAGAACTCCCAAACAAACCGAACGAAACAAGAAAAAAGGGAGAAAAAAAAAAAGTTAAAGTGGGCTACAAAGATGCGCCCTGCCCGTCATAAGGACCATATAACACCGCTTGGAGCCGTCCCAAAAGGATAAAAAGGATACACAAAACAAAAAGAAGCCTATACAGGAAAGCAGAAGAGAGAGATGAAGCAGCCGCAAAAGAGGCAAAAGAGGCAAAAGAGGCAGAAGAGGCAAAACTGACCGAGAGCGGATATGCCGCCTACGAGAACATGCCGCCGTCCCGCCGGCCCAGCTCGCTGCCGGCACCGCCCGAGTACTTGGCCTCCTCCTTCTCCCACGTGGCCCGCTCCTTGTAGGAGCGCGCCAGGTACGCGCGCGCAAACTTCCAGGCCTCCGTGTCGGCCAGGTTCCACGCCTCGACGGCGCTGCGCACGGCCACGTCCTTCTTGCTCTTGCTGACGCCAAGTTTCTTAGCCTTGGCGAGCAGGTCGCGCTCCTTGGCCAGCGCATCGGGCGACGCCACGGGCCCGTCGTCCTTGTCGTGCTGCGGGGGTGGCAGGCGCTCGGGACCGGGTACGGGCGTCTTGGACTCGCCCTTCTTGATGCCCCGGCCCTGGGCCGGGATGGCAAAGCCAAAGTGCCAGTCGACGTCGGTGGGCAGCGGCTGCTCGGCGGAGATCCAGAGCGTGTGGCCCTCGGCAAACTCGCCGGCAACGGCGCGCTTGAACCGGAGCACGCGGGCACCGCCCGAGACACCGGTACCGAGCAGCTCCTTGGTAATGTCAAAGAGCCAGGCGTCCCGGTGCGACTTGCGGCGCAGCCACGCAACGTCGACGGCGCCCTGCTTGTGCGCGACGGACTGGAAGGTGTACGGGTGCGGCACCGTGCCAATGGTGTAGAGCGTCGACGTGTTCCGGTAGGTCGGTGGTGTGCGGACGCGCATCGGCTGGCGCGACACGCAGGGTTCGCACTTGGGCATGTTGGGCGGGCACGAGGCCTCGAGCGGCGATACGGAGCACTGCGCCAGGCGGTTGGCGAGATCGGTGGCCGCCTCAATCATCTGCGTCGTGTGCTCGGCGCGCGGCTTCAGGACGGCGATGCCGGACGAGAAGAGGTTCTGCCACGCGATGTGGAGATGGGCGTTGATGAGCTGGTTGAGGCTGGCGAGTCCGTCGGCCCGGTCACGGTGGATCATGTCGCCGACCTTGATGTACTTCATGGCGACGGTCTGGGTGTCGTAAAAGGCAATGGCGGAAGGCGTATCGTCGACGATAAAGGGATAGTCCTTGGTCCTGGCCTTCATGTCGTTGTGATCGTCCGCCACCATGCCGCCCACGGCGCCGGCCGGGTCGATAGCCCGCGCGGCAACCTTCTTGGCAGGAGGCGCCGCCTGGCCGGGGACGGCTGCTTGGCCAGCGGGAAGAGGCGACGGGGAGGTGGCCGCAAGGGGAGCGGCCTGGACAGGGACCGCACCAAGAAGGGCGGCTTTGGCAGGAGCTGAAGCAGCGGCCGCCGCCGCGGACGCACCAGCCTGCTTGGCGGCGGCGCCAGCAGCACCAGCAGCGCCAGCAGCACCAGCAGCGGCCGCCGGAGCAGCCTTCACCGGCGGCAGGTCGGTGACGGGCGGAATCGCCTCCAGGAACGTCTCGGCGTTGACAATGGTCGGGTTGGAGAGGACCAGCTTGATCGCGTTGGAAATCTCCTCCTTGCTACCGGCAAACAGGCCATCGCTCAGGCCGGCCCAGCGGGTCAGCGCCGGGTACTCGCCACGGCGCAGGAAAGACAGCAAGGGATCGGTGCGGGGCCCCATGGGCAGCACGAGGTAGCTCGCCAGCAGACCGCCGCCCATGTTCTCCCAGGCCAGCCAGCGCATGATGTCGGCCTTGGCACCAGGCGTAATCTTCAGCTGCTGCACGTCCTTGTACCGCGGGTTGTTCATGGCCTCCGCCGAGCTCAGGAGCACGGGACGGAAGCCCTGCGCCCACCAGGCCCGGCGCCACGTCAGCAGCAGCGCACTCTCCGAATCGGCCAGCTTCCTATCGCGCTCAATGGCCGTGTCGTAGTAGCAGTAGATGGGAGGCCGGTCAGGCAGGGGCGGCAGCAGCGCGCGGCTCTCGTCGAGGGTGAAGGAGGAGGAGAAGGGCGTCGAGAGCCACTTCCAGTCGGAGAACCAGGCCGAGTCCTCGTGGGAGTCGTCTTTTTGGCGCGGCGGAGCGTGCGATTTGGGGCGGAAAGGGTTGAGGGAGTTGGACCATTTGTTCGTCCATTGCGGGTGGGACTTGAACTGTGGGATGGAGAATTTGTGGTCGGCAAACTTGGACAGGCTCGGGCCGGTCGGCACGGCACTGGGAAGCGTGAAGATGACGGAGAACACGGCGAAGATGAAGACGGCCGAGATGAGGATGGTGATGCGCCGCGTTGTGATGGGCGGCAGCAGCCGCCCAAAAAGAACGTACTGCTTCGGCATGGCAGGACGTCGTCAGGACGCAATCGATGGTACAGGTCCGTTTGTTATTTGTGGATTCGAGATCGCGGGGACGGGCGATGAATCTTGTTACAAAGAGATGGATGTGCCGCTGGAATGAAAAAAAGAAAAAAGAAAAACAGAGGCAAAATGCTCCAATGGAAAAGGCACGATATAGAAAACGAATGACGGGAAGAGAAGAGAAGGATGCAGATGAGGAGGACAGAAGACCACCTATCTCATGATGGACGCAAAGACGGATGTCGCAAAGGTGACGATCGAAGACGGATGTTCTGGAGAGCAAACAAACAAAAGAAGCAAAAGAAACAAAGAAACGGAGAATCTAAATAGTGGCCTCTCAATGCAGTAAAGCAGGAAGCTCAGAGGTGTCGCACCAGTGTCGCCGTCTCTTGTGATGGTCGAGTGTCCGGGACGAGTGTCGAGAAGCACGGTATCGCTGGTATGCTGTACGTTGGAAAATGATGGCCAGCACAATCAAAGCTTCGAAAAAGGAGGCGTTTCCATGCATGTCGTTAGCGTCCAACTGTCCAACCGCGTCGTTTCCCCATTTTCTTATGGGCCAACAGGCCAGGAACAAAGGAACACTTACGTAGGTGACTTCGGTACGAATTGTCACGTGAAATTAGTTAATCGGGACAGATAGCCTTGATGTGACCGCTTTTATTCTGCCACTTTAAGCGTGGAGTTTCACACGTGACCCGTCCAATGAGTAAGGTGGAGAGGGCTGCTGGGTGGGGCTCGTTTTTTGCGCTCCCACACAAAAAATTCCCACTTTGTGCATTTTTCTAGTCTTCCCAAAAATTTCCCAATCTCGACCGCGAACTTTTCTCCAGCTGCCATCTCACGACGACCACGACACTCTTTTTATTTTCGACCTCAACCGCCCATCACCTCCCACAATCCGACACAATGGCCAAGGCTAGCAGCTGTACGCATTTCCCCCGAAACACGCTCTGCATCGACTCGTTCGAACTGTTTCTCGATCGCCGTTTTTGTCTTGTTTTTGTATTTGGACTAACATGGAATTTTTTTGTCTCTCCAGCCATCCACTCTTCGCGCCGCAAGTCGCGCAAGGCTCACTTCAGCGCTCCCTCGAGCGTGCGCCGCAACATCATGAGCGCTCCCCTGAGCAAGGAGCTGCGCGAGAAGTACAACGTCCGCAGCATCCCCATCCGCAAGGACGACGAGGTCACCATTGTCCGCGGCTCCAACAAGGACAAGGAGGGCAAGGTCACGTCGGTCTACCGTCTCAAGTACGTGATCCACGTCGAGCGTGTCACCCGCGACAAGGCCTCCGGCCAGAGCGTCCCCCTGGGCATCCACCCCAGCAACGTCGTCATCACCAAGCTCAAGCTTGACAAGGACCGGGAGAGCATCCTGGCCCGCATCAAGGCCGGCCGTGAGCAGCGCGAGAAGGCCAAGGAGGATGCCAACTAAGCGGATCGATTTTCTCTTATTACTCGTTCCCACGTAGTCGACAACCTAGCGAGGCGTTTAGCACACTCGAAAATAAAAGGAAAAGAAAGCAACCTCACAAAAAAATTCGAAACATCACAACACATCCAGGACGCAGGCAAAATTGGTCTCACCTCTCTCACAGCCCCATACCAACGGGCCAGGACATGGACACATCATGCCTGTTTCTTTTTCGAATCCTTCATTCTGTACCGCTACATACCCACCAAAACCGACGAGACCCACCAACGAGACGCCAATGTCTCGCCACGTTGCTGTTCTCGCTCGCTTTTGATTCTCGTTCGTCCTTTTTATGGATATATTGGGCAGGGTTTTTGGGAGGCGAGCGAAAACAAATGGAGCCGCCTCGGGAAAGAGGATGGAAGAAAAAAGCACTCGCCATCAATGAAAGACATTTTTTTTTACCAATGGCCATTTCACGTTCCCCACGACCACTGTGAAATGATCCATGGGAGGCTCTCCCGAAGATGATTCCAACGTATGCGAGGTGACCTTGAATGTTGTCGTAGCAGCTAGTAGTAACTTGGCCATAATGGTCATTGTAGTCTCGTAACTATTCGTACGACGCTCAACATGCAGTCATGTAGTGTCGAAAAACATACTGCGAGGTAGTCTGGTTTACCATGGGGCAAGGTCTGCAAAGTGCCACGCATAGTGAACAATTGGACTGTTCCAACGTACTCTATCTTGTGTCCTTTCTACACCCATTGCCAATTTGCAAAGATATTGGCGCGCACCAGTATGTGCTTGCAGTTGTCTGTAAATGCTTGTTTGATTGGGTAAAACATAGCGAAATGGCTGCAGGCTCAAAATGTAACTATCTGCTATGGTACATACTGGGCTGCCTGACACTAATCAGATATCAAAGTAAATAAAAATATGCCCTTCTTTGGCCAATAACGAGTACCAGATAACCCTCTTCTCGGCGGTAAACAATACTGAATGTGACCGACGGTCTCGCGGATGCACCTCAGGGAAACCCTCTTCGTCGTCTGTTTCGACAAATCCCGTCTCTAAACAAATGCGGCATGTCCCTCACCGTAAAGGAGAAAAAAAAGAAAGTTAAAAAAAAAGAGAATACATGAATCGCAAAAATAAAACACAATGTACATGCTTCAATGATGAGGAGCCGCTGCATGGCCCACGTTACAGAGTAACAAAACTGTAGTCGACGACACTGCGTACATCGAAGCGTCCTCCAAGTTCAGAGGTTGTCCCAAGGACTGACATCGTGGTTGCTTTCGACGAGTGTCATTCTTTTTTGGAACTGCTGCTCAAGGGAGGTGGGCCCGACACTCTCTGGCGGCGGTCGGTTCTCTCCAATCCTTCTCGATGCCGGGGTGATGAAGATACTGCTGCCATCATCTGACTTGATTGGCGAGAGACGACCTAGTGCCACAGGCGACGAGTGGACCGAGCTCAGAGACGCAGCCACCAGACTGTCGTAACCAGTTGAGTATTGAGGAAGAACACCTTGCACGGTAGCTGATGTGAGAGCACCCGGCAATACCTCGCTATTGGTAGAGATATTCCGTTTCAGGACAGTATGCAATATCTTGGACCTTGGCAGACAAAGTGTTAGATGCGTTTGTGTTTCTGCAGTGGGAAGGCACTGGCATGTTTGAGCATACCTTGTATTATTAGCCTGCGTATCCTGTTTTCTACCCTGAGTGACGTCCTTTGGTGCCTCTTCGAAACCCTTGGGATTCTTGTCGTTCACCTGCGACCGGTCTTCGAGCGCGTCCGAATCAGGACGCCTCTGAATTTAACAACCACGAGAACATGTTAGGAACAGAATAACGTCAAAAGTGTCATGAGTTGGATGAGTTATACGGGACAACGGTTCCTCTTACCAGAGTGACCTTGACGGGCTTCTGTCTTTCTCTTCGAAACTCGGATGCATACCGACCGGGGTTGCCCGCCTGAGAAGCTTGGGTAACCTTTGGCTGGAAAGCCCCCGTGTAATAGTCAACATCGGGGTCACCAATGGGAACATGGCGGCCCAATAAAGGGGGTGGTGGACTATCGCCGATTGCGTCGTTGGCAGGAGAAGGGGGGTAAAAGTCTTTTCCGTCAAACTTAGGCAGGCCTTTGCGCGTGAAGGACGGCGCCCTTCCCCAGAATAAATACCGTGAGCGGGTCTCGTCATGAGTAAGTTCTCGCTCATAGACGTAGTCGCTGTCTCGTACATGTTGGGGATCAATGCCGGCTGGAAGGGTGCCGACCAGATACGGCTTTGACAAGTCCGATTTGTTGTTAGTTGTGACAACAGATGGCTTCTTGTCATGGCTTAGACCCCGGACTCCGTAGGCGCGGGCATCATTGTTTTGGTCGACAGCACTGCTCTCGTCGACAGACGCACCGTCCCACTGGAACGATCCTCGAACACGAGGAGCTTGCGCTTCTGCGATGGCCAAAGAGCGAGGTTCAAACGGGGGTGCAAGTGCAGCCTTGATAGGAAGGGTCGACTTTTTGATGGGATCAGACAGTGCAAATGATGGGTCAACAGGATTCAGATGAAAGAGAGGTTCCTTCCTTCTGAGGACTTGTTTGTGGCGAATGCTGTGTGAACGTCTAGTGCTGCTTGAGACATGCTTCACTGTACCTTGCATGGAGGCACTTGAACGAGATGCCCGATCGATAGCGCGACGCTCTGGTCCATTTGTTTCAGCTGCAATGGGCTCCTTCTTTGGATAGTGGTTTTCTTCAAAACGAAGCTGGTTTTGGTTCAAGGCTTCGAATCTGTCAATCTGGGATTGCAGCATTCGAATGGTTCGTTCCATCTCCTTCTCGTCAATTTGGTGTTTGTTGTAAAGCAACTGGTCTTCGTGGTATTTCAAAGAACCCCGAAGCATCTCGATCTGCTTCCTGCTTATTTCACTTGGTCGGATTGACGATATAGGGGGGGCCGAGGGAAGCTGTGGGGCATTTTCCGACGATGGAACTGAACCAGCATTTGTCACGGCAGATGGACCAGGATGCGTTGGATTCGCTTGAGGCGCCTGGAACGGCCCGGGAAGAATTGGGAAGCCCAGGGGTGAATTAAACAAGTGGTTCATCCCGGCCTGCGATGGACTCATGAGAGACCCGTGGAACAAGGCGAGAGGAAAGTTGGGATTTCCAAGAAACCCGGAGGGAATCTGAGAAGGTGGACCTACCGCGATATGAGGCGGAACAGCTGGAGGCGCAAAGGGGTACACCACCTGGCCATTGACAATAAATGGTTTCGTACGATCAAGCTGCTCGGAGGGCATGCGCATGGGATGCTCGCGTGTTTTGTCAAACGCCGGTGTCTTGAAGTTCGATGACTCTCTGTGATTGCCGTTTTGCACATTTTCCTTGGCAAAATTCTTCTCGGCCTCCGGCAGGAGCATCTCAGAAGCAGTGCCTGGTGGCCCTGGTTGAGGAGGAAACGGAAACCCACCAGGCATCGCGAGTCCCAAGGGTAGCGGCATCATCGACATTCTAGGCATAGGAGCTGGGAACGGCGGGTAGAATGGGTGGTGGGGAGGGAAAGCATACAGCGGCAAGTTGGATGGGTGCGGTCCAGCTAAGTATGGGCCATCGGGGACCCGCTGCGTCTGGTCATCCGGCGGCGGATTGACATCTTTAGCAAGATCACCTTCATCTCCTTTGTCCTTGGGGCGCTTTGACATGGGCGAGGTGCCTCGCGTGTTAGGGACAATGCGGCCACCAGCAGTGACTCGAACGTGTGTAGGGGAAATGACAGCTTTGTAGAACCGCTGAAAGCCCTCGCTTTGCTGAGCATTGATACCGGTCGGCGCAGAGAGAGGCTCGGCCGACGTAGCTTCGGAGCCCACCCTGCCACGATATCGCCATTCCATTTCGGCCGGATTGCCAGTCGTAGCCTCACGGCGTGGCTGCCGTGTGACATAGACAATCTCATCGGGCGCACCAGGGAAATCAATTCGAGAGCGCGCTGTGCTTGACTGCTGGGTATGGAACGGCCTGTATTTGTGGAAACGGCCAAGCGTGCGAGATTCGCGAGATTCACTACCACTCTGACGACCCGCGGATCCCGTTTGAAGGCCTGCATTGGTGGTTAGCGGTGGTATTTTTGGATTGGAACGCCCGCGGATGTTGAGACATTTCCATTTGCCTGCGTACCGCGATCCACCCCCTTCTGGGGCGCATCCTCAAGTGACATCGGTATGCCAAACGCCCGGAGCTCGAGCAGCTGCTGAGCTGTGTACCTGTAGGATGGCATTGTGGTGGTACAGTCGACAAAGGCGAATATGCAGAACGTTCGGTGCGTCCGGAAGCAGTGCCAAGTGAAAATAGTTGCAGTTGTGGGTGGCCACTTTCCGCGAACAGGGGGAAGGCAGGACACAATGTAGCGGATCAGAGGGCTGAAAAAGACGACGGATGTTTCCTGGTTTGTCAGTTTCTGGGCCTCAAGCTGAGAAAGGATGAACTTCCGAGCACTGCCACGCGCTACAGGAATGTCCAGCACGGTGTCTGGGCCGGGAAAGACCTCCGCAAGCTTGCAATACTTGCTGCTCCGCAGATCGTGTTTAATAGAGAGGCAGATGGGACCAGTCAACTCCCGATCGTGGTACTGCAACTCCGACAGCTTGTTAACCAGTCTCTTGGCGCGCTTGCTGGACGTGGTAGATGCCATTTGTAGAGGCTTTGGTAAAGGCGTGATGGTGACGTAGACTTGAACGTGACGAGACCAAGTTGCAACTTACTACTTTCCAGCCTCAAAATGCCAGGATTCAAATACAGGAGGAAGAAGAAAGGCATAAGCCACAGGGACATGAAAACAAACGTACAGAAATGGAAGAAGCAACAAAACGTAAAGCATAAAAACAAACAGTAGCCCTGTACGAACGACGACAAAGATTGGAGAAGGGGAGAAGGGGGGGATTGACGGGAAACAGCACCACAAGCGTTAGCCAAAAAGGCTTACCGAATTGGAGCAAAATCAGGTCGAAGTGCCTGGACAGATGCTGGGTAGCCAACACGAGACGCGTGTTGCACGAGCAAGCTGATAGGAGGGCGAGACGGTTGGCTGATTGCTAGGTGTTGTTCTTGTTGGATGACTCTCCAGGAGGTTGAAGGTTGAGGGAGATGCAGGGGCAAGACGGCGCAAGCAGTAGACATACACGTGTTCGTGTCAAAAAAGTTCCAAGAAAGGGCGTGCACTGTACAACAAGGATGAATCTGAGCAAAAAAGGGGCGACAAGGAGACGGATGTCGATGGTGAGGAAGAGTGAGGATGAAGATGGGGAGAAAATCGCACAGAGGGAGGGGAAAACATAAATGCAGGGCGATGTACAGGAGCTGCCCCAGGACGACCAGTCGCGGCTGCTAGACTGAGTGTTCCAGGTAAACAACTTTCCTTGGCCCCACGACGGTCTGTTTGTTGTCTTTGTCTGGCCTGGGAAGCTGCGATAGACACAATGAGAGAGCCTGTGGACCTGGCCACGTTAAACAGTGAACAAAGTGGTCAAGATAGCAAGCATCATAACAGGAAGAGAAGGCGCAAGACGACAAGAGGAAAGAGCGTGTTTAGTGGCAGAGCGACGCTAGAAGCCATGAGATGGTTGCCTCTGTTGCGGGTAGCATGGCTGCTGATTACAGGTTCGGAAGGAACGAACAGAAGGTGTCCAAGTTGCGATCGTGCCTTCCTAATGCGCACTCCACTCCGACTGACTTTAGCATGAGAAGCACCCAAGCGCCGGAATGGCAAGACGGAAGGTGCTCGCCAACGTGCCCTATAGCTGCTATTTCCTTGATTCCGTGACTTCTGCGTCTTTCCAAAATTAATAGTCAAATAGTGAGGCGGATGGCCACAGGTGCTGTGACGTTGCAGGCACGTGAGCCATACGAAGACAGCCACATTGTGCCATCACGGAGCCTACACTGCGGACATCAACTTGGAACAGCGAGTGAGGCCTGTTTTTGATTGTCAAGAGTCGCTTTGGGCCGGCATACTGTTCACTTGAATCATGGCCTGGTTGGGACCAGATGTTGTCAGCTTCGAATCGCTTGATTGCCAAGTTTTGAGGTAATACTTAGAAAGCAAATACGTGACACTTTAAGTAAATAAATGGCAGGAACAAATTCGATACGACAAGTACAAGTCTCGATGAAATGCTTTGTTCAGACAGAAACGACCCAATCGCCGTGATGCGATGCGTTCGACTTGTTGACGTTTGACCCCTGTCGCATGTTCACGTGACTCCGAGCGAGTATGAAATGCGCGCCAGGGGAGTTCCGTGGCCTAGTAGCCAATCGTGGGAGCCCCTGTGGGGAACTGGCCCAGGGCCGCTATTGCCTAGTTCTACGCGTGTTGGCCCGAAACGTGAACTCCTATTTTCCGTACGACAACAGAGAGAGGAGGTATTCCGCATCGACGACCGCCCGACGGCCCTTTCCGACGATCTCTTGACGACAGAGCGGACTCAGGGCGAAACTTTGGCGTCCGGAAGTTCAAACGACCGACGACCGACCCTTTTCTACCACCATTCAGAGCATCTAACCCCCTATTTGTTTACGGCATCACAACCCAACCGCGACTTGAGATGACTGGCCTCTGCATGTCTACGCATTGACGACCCCTGAGCCTTTCGACGACACACTCTCCCTCGCCGGCCTCTTTGCCATGGAGCCTGCCGTGGGCCATCTCGTCCAGCTGCAGGATGGCACCCGCGGTATCATCCGGTTTGCTGGGCGGCCGCACTTCGCGCCTGGCGACTGGGTAGGCGTCGAGCTCGAGGCGCCCACCGGCAAGAACGACGGCAGTGTGCAGGGCGAGCGGTACTTTGACTGCGCCATGGGCTATGGCATGTTTCTTCGGCCGAAGGCGGTGACGGTTCTTGGCGTGGCTGGAGACGGCGACGACGACGACCATGACGACGAGGACGAAGAGGAGGAGGAGGAGGAAACGGAAGAAGCAGCACCGGCTCCACTTCCTGCACGACAGCAACCACAGCGACCGGCTGCGGCTGCGGCTCGGCCATCGGCTGGCACGACCGGTCCGGCTGCGCGAAAATCAACCGTGGGCAGCCGCCCAAGCAGCGTCTACACCGGCACCTCTGCCGGTACTCGGACCAGCATGTCAGGAGACCCGGGGCTCACAAAACGGATGAGCCTTAACGCGCCAAGTCCTAGCCCGGTATCCCGGTCGCGTCCATCAAGTATAGCAAGGGTGAGTTTCGAGTCTGGAGGAGTTTCGAGGAGTTTTGGTGGTTGTGATTGCGAGGCAACTGTACTCACATTGGGTCTGACGTGTGGGTAGTCACCGACGAAATCGCCGACAAAGCAACTTGCCACCGGCCCTTCGAGCACGGCGACCTCTCGAACCGGGACACCCTCCAACGCTGGCGCAGGTGCTGGTGGCCGACTGTCCTCTGTGACTTCGCGACCTCGCCCATCAGTCGGCGGCACGCGGACATCCATGGGGCCCCCGGCAGTGCCTGCATCACGAGGTGGCCGTCTGTCGACCACGTCCACGACAGCCGGGCGCACGAGTACCACAGCTCAAACACGCCTGGGAGCTGCGCGGCCAGGCGTAAGCAGTGCGACGACGTCTCGCGTGGGCCGCCGGCCGTCCAGCATCCGTGCCGCGTCGGGAGACTCTGGCAACGAAAGCGCCGGCAGCAGCCGTCTGAACAGCGCACGGCCCACCCGCGGCAGCATCGATGGCCGAATCATGTCGCCCCAGAAGAGCAGCGACGACGAGGTGCTATCGCCACAGCCGAAAAGCCCCGTGCAATCAAGGGCCGCGGCCTTGGAGCGCCTCACGTCGGGGGCATCCAAGGCCGGTGCTGCCGCAGGCGCTCGGCAGACAGCGGCGGCCAGCGCCAGCGCTGCTGCTGCATCGGCCACCCGCCCCACTGCATCGGCAGCGGCCGCACACCGTGAGATTGAGGATCTCAAGGCGAAACTGCGGGTGTTGGAGCGCAAGCGGCTGGAAGACCGTGACAAGATCAAGCAGCTCGACAAGCTGAGCGCAGACTGCGAGAAATACCAGGCGATCATCCAGAAGATCCAAGCCAAGTACCAGCCTCAGCAGCAAGAGAATGCCGACCTCCGCAGACAGCTCAAGGAGGCCGAGGGCCTCTTGGAGTCGGTGGAGACGATGCAGGCGGAGCACGACTCTGCCATGGAGCTGGCCACGCTGGACCGGGAGATGGCAGAAGAGCAGGCGGAGGTGTACAAGGCGGAGCTGGATGCTGTCAAGCTGAAGAACGAAGAGCTGGAGCTCGAGGTGGACGTGCTGCGCGGCGAGAATGCCGAGTTCACCCAGGGCATGTCGCCGGAAGAGAAGACCAGCGCCAGCTGGCTGCAGATGGAGCGCACCAACGAGCGGCTGCGCGAAGCCCTGCTGCGCCTGCGCGACATCACCCAGCAACAAGAGGAAGAGCTGCGCGACCAGGTGAAGCTGCTCGAAGAAGACGTCAAGGAGCTGACGGCGACCAAGGAGCAGCACGAAGCGACCAAAGACAAGCTCGCGCAGGCAGAGGCTGTCGTCGAGGACCTGCGGCAGCAGCTCGACGCGGCCCAGGCCGCCGACGACATGATTATGGACCTCACGGAGCGCAACATGAGCCAGGCCGAGCAGGTGGAGGAGCTCAAGGCCGTCATCGAGGACCTGGAGAACCTCAAGGAGATCAACGACGAGCTCGAAATCAACCACGTCCAGAACGAACGCGAGATGCAGGAAGAGCTCGACTTCAAGGCCGCCGTCATCCAGGAGCAGGCGCGCCGCGCCGGCCAGCAGGAAGAGAAGCTCGAGGAGATGGAGTACGGCCTGACACGGTTCCGCGAGGTGGTGACAAGCCTGCAGAGCGACCTGGAAGACATGCGGGCGTCGCACGCGGTGACGGAGAACGAGTCGGAGCAGCTGAACAGCCGGTCGCGCGCCATTATGGACCTCAACATGAAGCTGCAGCTGTCGGCGGCCAAGGCGCAGGTCAAGACCATCGATCTCGAGCTCCGGCGCATGGAGGCCCAGGAGGCCGAGCAGCACCTGGAGATTGTCAAGCTCTTCCTGCCCGACGCGTACGTACAGACCGACCGCAACTCCGTCCTGGCGCTGCTGCGCTTCCGCCGCCTGGCCTTCAAGGCGAACCTGCTCAACGGATTCGTGCGCGAGCGCGTCAACCAGCCGGCGCACCCGGGCCACGAAGACGACGTGTTTGTGGGCTGCGACGTGGTGGACAAGCTCACGTGGGTGTCGGCCATGTGCGACCGCTTTGTGAGCGCCATCAGCCGCTGCTCGACGGACAACTTTGCCCGCTTCGACGGCGCGCTGTACGAGCTGGAGCCCGTCGAGCGCGCACTCAACGCCTGGATCGACGGCCTGCGCCGCGACGAGCTCAAGGAGCAGACGTGTGCCGACGAGCTCCAGCGGTCCATTGCGCTCATGTCGCACTTGGCTGAAGTGCACCTTTCGCCTGCCGCCACCCAGCAGCAGCAGCAGCAGCAGCAGACCACGCCCAAGGCCAACGGCTTCAACAGTCTTCTTCACAACAACCTGAACAACAACAACAACAACAGCAGCAGTGTCAGCATCGGCAACGACGAGGAGCATGAGGGCCAGGACCTCGAGGGCTTTGCCGACAACCTGCAGATGCGCGCCGTGCTCACGCAGAGCCACCTGGAGTCGGCGTCGATTGCGCTGCACACGGCGCGCGGCATGGTGCAGCGGGTCATCCCACCGGCCGACGACGAGGACGACGCGGCACAGTACTTTGCACGCCGCGCGGAGGCGGCCATTGCGCAGACGCGCAGCGCCAAGGTGGTGGCCAGCAAGGCGGTGCGGTCGCTCGAAGAGCTCAAGTCGCGGTCGCTGTCGCTGATGCCGGACACGCTCGAGGCGTTTGAGCAGTGCGAGGCGGCGTCGCGCGGCCTGGCCGAGCTGGCCCGCCGCATGGGCCTCGACCTGTTTGCGCTGCTGCACGAGGAGGGCCGCACGGCGCCGTACACGTACGCCGAGGTGCAGACGGTGGTGCACAACACGACGCTGGCCGCGGCCCGCGACACCAACACGGACGGCGGGTCGGCCGACGAGGACCTCTTTGCCACGTACCTGGCCAGGCTGCGTGCGGTGGCCAGCCAAGTGTCGGACGTGGCGGCGCTGTCGGGCGACCTGTCGCAGACGCTCGAGTTTGAGCGGCCGGCCGCGCCGTGGGTGGTGCGCGGCCAGGAGATCAAGGCGTCCAAGACGGTGCCCGTGGACACCGAGGAGGAACTGCGGCGGCTGCGCGACGACCACGCCGAGGCGCGCCGTGTGATTGCGCGGCGCGACAACGACCTGGGCACGGCGCAGCTCAAGATCGAGACGCTGGAGAGCAAGATGCGCGACGCGCAGAACAAAGCGTCGGTGATTGCGGAGCTCGAGCGGGCGATGGCGGCCGAGCAGGTCTTTACGAAGCAGCTCAAGGAGGACATTGAGAAGCAGGACCGCGAGCTCAAGAGCCTCGAGGCCGACCGCGACCGCTGGAAGAAGATTGCCAGCGACGCCAGCCTCCTGGCAGGCGCCGGCGTGGACGACAGCGCCGGCGAGGACGGCGAGTACGGCGGGCAGCTGGGCGGCGTTGGCGGTGTCGGTGGCCGGTCGGGCCACCAGGCAGCGGCGCGGCACTCCAAGGAGCGGGCGGTGGCCACGGCGCGCGAGATGGAGGCCCTCAAGGCCGAGATTGGCAGCCTGCAGGCGGCCGTGCGGTACCTGCGCGAAGACAGCCGGCGGGCCCGTCTGACGGAGCAGGCCAACCACGCCTGGCTCGCCGAGCCGCTGCTGCAAAAGAACCAGCGGAGACAGCCGCTCCAGCCAACAGCGGCCTCGCGGGCCCAGGCGGTGGCTGTCGAAGCACGCGATGTGCTGGGCGAGCTGGTGAAGATGGCCAGTGCCGCCCGCGTGTACGATCTCGGCAAGCAGCTGCCCGCCGACCGTCTGGCGTGGCGCCCTGCGCACACGTCGCCCGGCTACCACGCTGCCAAGCTGGCTGAAGACTATGCGGCCTGGAAGGGCTGGGAAGCGTCCGTGGCGCGCAAGGCACGAGATGTGAGTAGCGGTGCTGGAGCCGACGTTGTGCTGAGCAAGCGTCTGGCGCGCAAGCAGCACGCAGCCTCCGCGCGGCGGCAGCAGATTCGCCTTCCGGGAACGGCTGACGGCGGAGGCGAGGACAAGGAGAACAACCCTGCTGGTGGTATCCGTGTTGTCGGCGAGGGAACGCAGTCGTGGTGGCGGCGACAGGTGCACACAGACGACCCAGTCTATCGAGCCTAAGAGGGAGGCCGTGCTGCCACGGGAGGAGGGAATCGTGGCCCGACGTGAAATTATACAGAGCTGTCTGCTATATACCCCATTCCATTTCTATTTACTTGTCACTCTGTGGCCGCATACGACGTACAATTTCTTTCTTTTTTTTAAAAAAAAAAAAGAAAAGAAAAGAATAAAAAAAAAGTAGTACAATAAAAAGGCTTCGTTTTATTATACCGCGCTGTCAAATGCCCGCAGAAACCCCAAGTAGATCGTCTGCATTTTTTTTACAACTAGACCCCTCGTGCCGTTTGTTCGTCTATGCCTTTCCCTTGCCCTTTTTGCCCTTCTTGGTATCGCTGCCGCCAATCGCGCCGCCCGGCGCTCCGCCGCCACCGCCTCCACCACCACCAGCAAGCGCCGCCATTGCCTGCCGCATGTCGGGCATGCCGCCACCGCCCAGCGCGCCCAGGCCGCCCGGCCCGCCGGCGCCCTGCATCTCCTTCATGACGTCCTGGAACAGGTTCTCCGACACGCCGCCGCCCGTCATCGCCGGGCTCAGATACGGCACCAGTTCCGGCAGCTTCCAGCCGCGCGGGATGGCCGGGCGCGGGTAGGCTTCGCCGCGGGGCGGCGGCGGTGGCGCGCCGCGCACGGTCTCGCGCAGGCCGGCGCTGGACTCGGTGGTCGGGTGGGCGGCGAGGTAGCGGGCGACGAGAACGTAGAGGTGGTGCTTGTTCTTGACGGCCGTACTGGCCTTGAGGTCGACCTTGACGCGGCCCGGGTTGGCCCAGTCCTTGGGGTGCGTCTTGGTGGGCTCGAAGACGGTGCGCAGCTGCAGCGAGGCGCAGGCGTCGACCATGTCGCGCGCCAGCGGGTTGGCCACGGCGAGGCTCTTGCTGACGCGACGGCCCTCGGCACGTGAACGGTCCTTGTCAAAGTAGACCGGGTAGAGCGCAGGGAAGCCGGCGTAGGCGGGCGGGGGCTCTACGCCGCCCGGGCGGCCAATGTTTGCGCGCTGTTGCTGCTGCTGCTGAAACGGCTGTGGTATTGAGGATGCGGCCGAGGGCTGTGCGGGTTGTCGTGCGGCGGCGGGCTCTTTGCGGCGGATAATGTCAGTCTCGTCAAAGTCGTCAATGTCGTCCTCGGAGGGGTCTGAGTACACATCGTCGCTGTCCTCAACCTCTTCGACTATTGCGTGGCGTGACATGACGTCCGATGGTAGTTGTGAGAGGATGGGGGGAGGTTGAGACGCAAAGGGGCTGGGAGGGGAGGTTGTCGCGATGTTTGCTTTGAGGGGCGCAAATGTGGATGTGGTTATGTGGTCGACAGTAGGCGGCACCTTCCTCGTTAGTGGCCTGCATTTTTCTTGTGGGCAAATCTGGTGGGGCGCTGATTGTGGGGACGGCGTGTGGTAGAAAAGTGGGTCATCGCAAACGGCGAGAGCCTTGTCACATACAATGGCGAGGCTGTCATAAGACGGGATCGAGAACATTATGTCCTACATTGCGGGTGAATAAACGTCAATCGGCAAGCAAAACGAAATAGATGAATTCAATCTGTTGTGTTCGGACATATCAGGACCCTAATATTGCCTTTTGGATATGGCACCGCCAGGTTGCTCGTCTGCACTGTGGCCAGCACGTGACCACTTTAAATGTAATACCACGTCCAGCCTTCAATATCATTCCATATGACTCCATATCGCTCCGTATCGCTCCATATCGCGTTCGATCTCTCGAGATCAGGTCCAATTAATCCATCTTCCAGCGTCCCCGTCGTACACGACGTGGGACGCACTCACGTCTTTGTCTTATAACATCCTCACATCTTCTCAATCGCACCTGGTTTATTTTGCATCTATTAATCGTCACCGAGGAACGGTTGCTTAAACTTCGTTTTCGGCGGGTGCAGCGCCGACGGGAACCGGCAGTACGGCTGCAGGCAGTTTCCGTCGCGCACACTCGGGCACTGTGAGAACACGTTAGTGGGATGGTCTGCCAAAGACAAAGGGCCCCGTCCGACGTCGGGTAGACGGGGGGGGGGGGCGGGGACCTACATGGTGGCCGTGAATGCACTCCTCAATGGCGCAGTCCTGGCCATGGCTGCAGGGCGACTGGCGCATCAGGAACGACAAAGCCATCTTCTCGTCGGCCGTCGCCTTAAGTTTGTGATTGTATTCGCAATAGTCCTTGGTGCAATGGCCCAAAATGACATAGTTGTTGCAGAACTTGTCCTTGCCCTTGCGTTTCTTGACGCTGTCCACAACCACCGGGTTGTACGTGACGGGCGGATCGAGGCCGCGCTCGCCGGGGCTCCAGCTCGGCTTGTTCTTCTCGAGCTGCGCGGCCGCAGTGGCCGCTGCACTTGCCGCCTTGGCCTGCAGGCTCTTGGTTGTGGACTGCGGGAAGGTCATGGTCGGCGGTGGGCTGCTACGCTTGGCCGTCGTAGCGCTCGCGTAGCTGATCGACGGCGATTTGGTGGGCGACAGGACGCTGGTCTTTGTAGCGTCGTTGTTCGGTATGCCGCCGTTCGGTTTGGCGGTTACAGTCTGGCCGTTGGTGGCTGCCGGCGACGCGCGGCCGGTGCCGTTCGGCATAGGGTTCACTGGAGCCGCATTCGGGATGCGGTCGGCAATCAGTTTGTCGGACCGGAACACGGTTTCGTTCAAGTTGGTAACCTCAATATTGGTGGCAATGAGCTCGCGCACCGTGGGCGAGCCCTCGAGAATGCGGAGGCGGTCGCGCGTCTTGTAGTTGCTGCTGAGGTCATCTAGGAAAGGGGCGTACCCGGAATCATGGGAGATGCCGAGCACAACCATTTTGCAATTGGCATTGTGCAAGTGCCACCGGGCATCCTCTGCCATCGTTAGAATTGGCTTCATTCGAAAAAAGGACGGGAGGGGCTTTCGATATCGCACCTCTAATTTTGGAATCGGCGCGTTCTTTGCCGTAGCCAACGTCAATAAAGTCAAACGAGGCTTTGGCCTGCGTAAAGCCAAGGGTAAACTGCTTGAATTGATCCTCGCTAAAGATGACGCCCGCCTGGCGCATGGCTGTGGCCAGGCCGGACTTATTGGCCCAGACCTTTACGATAATTTCCATCTTGGACGCCTGGTCGCCGCATTTGTCGACGACGGCGGTGCGTAGCGCATGGGCAGCCCGCTTGCCGCCTTCAACGCCATCGTTGACGAAGGAGTCTTGGAACTGTTCAGTTGGGTGTTAGTTCTGCGAGCATGTGGACAGAGGAGAGAAAATGGGGCGGGGCGTACTAGGAGCCCATCGCCGTCGATCAATACAGCGACGTAAGGATGTCCATTCTGCATATCTTTCCGTTAGTCTCCATCTTCGTTTCTTGGGCTGTTTTCAGGTCTTTTGTTTTTCCCAGCCATAGTGTATCCTGTCCACTCTGCCCAGTCTGCCCAGTCTGCCCAGTCTGCCCAGTCTCTTCTCTCTCTAATGCCACGCACCCTATGTTCGTCGTTTTCGTTTTTAAGTTGCTGAATCTCGTTGTTTAATGCCTGCACTTGTTGCTGGAAATTGCGTCGTGAGTTCTGGGCATCGTCTAAGTCGAGGCGGCAGTTGGCAAGGTCTCGCCGCAGCTGGGACGTCTCTGTATGCAGCCGAGATTCCAACTGCTGGCTGTATGTGAACAGATCCTATAGCGGGAGAGCACACGGTCAGTTCCCAGAGCAGACTGAGCAAAACGATACGCAAAAACATGCTGCAAAAACATGCTGCAGAAACTCTTTCTGGCAAAGACAAACCTCTAAGAGCTGCGATTGACTATCCTCAAAATGTCGCAGTTGTTGAAACCGCTGCTTAAGCAGGCCCAATTCGTCGCCTATCATGGTTCTTTGTGCGGTAAGGCCCGAGTCAAAAAAGTGCAACGACGGGGAGCGACAGCCGAGTCTATCAAAGCGAGGAATGAGGTTGGGGGGATCTCCAATGCGTGATTCGTGAGCCAAAGGTCAGAGGAAACCGAGCGACCGCTTGGCCGCGTTTATGTTACGCGTCGGGAAGCTTGCGCGTGAGGAACGTCGTGGTCGGCGTCTAGAGTGAGAGAAGGAGCGAACGTCAGAGTGTAAGAATGTCGAGGAAAGAGCATCGCGACAAAAATTGAAATAAAGGGGATAAAGGGGAAGGCGAGGACTGCTGGAAGCAGTGTATTATATTTGGGAAGGTGCAAATGAGAACTGCAGAAGAACTGGGAAGGAGCGATGAAGGTCGCATATGTGTGCTAGGAGAGCCCGTTGCAGTCCAATCTCTAGAGTGGTAACTAGGCCGAAAGTAGCAATTGCCAGGAGCACTGACAAAGTCAGAAAGCAGGTAACGGGAAACTGCGACTGACAGTTTCCTTGTATCGGATCCTATGTCATTACGACGTACGAAATATGGAGCAATAATATGTTATTTAGTCTGTTTCGGGTTTTCGATTTCGATTTCGATTTCCTGTCTTCTGTTTCCGGCTTCAATCTACTTTGCCCTAAACGACTCCCGTTCGTTTTTAACAACACGCAACACATCGCCAAAAAAAAAAAAAAAAAAAAAAAAAAAACGTAAAGGCTATATGATTGGCAGACAAGTCGGGCTGCAACAGACCAACCTCGGGCGTTGGCGGATTGCCTCTCCTCTGTACTGAGTCTTTCCCGCCTTGTCTATACTGCAAAAACAGAAGCCAGCAGGCGGAAAGCAGAAAACGAAATATGAAAAAGAAATAAATGCACGTTAGGTACGGCATATGGCAATTGGAAACAGAAAGCAGAAAGACAGCCGCCAGGAGCATCGATCCTCATCTCGGTACCTCCAGGCGACGGATGTGATTAGGCCACAGACTTACTGCTTCCAGCCAGAGTGCATGGGGCTTGTTTGAATGTTGTCAGCCTTGGGCTTTGCTGCATGCCTACTCCCAAGTACTCTGTACACGTGCCATTTTAGATACAATATGCTTCCTATGTCGTACAACTACAAACATGCCTTGGATAGAGATGATGCACCCCTGCGGCGGCGTTTTATTGTCCAATTTTAAGCCTGGCATTACCGACCATATCCAAAAAGTGCGTACGAATCGCATTGTCTGATCCTGCGTCCCTCCATTCCAGCTCAAAACGAGTTGTAGTTGTTCAGCAGACTCCATAAACTATTGTTACCAAAGTCACCTTCAAACTGCCAGGGGATCACCGTGCCGTCAATCAACGAGTTCACTCCCGGGCCGGTGGCGTCCTCGCCCGGTTGCTGATGCTGAGGCGACGCACTGTCGCGAACATCCGATTTTGCCGCAGCCGCAGCGTGCGCTGCCTCGGCAGCGGCAAGGGCGGTCGCGTCCGCGGTATCCAGGTCGGCAGACAAGCTGCCCACGCCCGAGCTGACATTGTTCAGGAGGTCCAAGCTGTTGCCGCCAATCCCGCCCACCAGACTGCCTCCACCAGCGCCGCTTCCGCCGCCGCCCCACGCCGATGCTGCCGACCCGTCGCTGACGCCAAGCAAGATGTTGTACGCCAAGTCGCCCGTCGGGCAAATGGGCGGCAGCGACGACCAGTCAAAGTTGTCTGGGAACATCGAGTCGACCATTGCGTCGTCTGCGGCAGTCCGTGTTCCGGAAAGGTCGTCAAACTCCTGGGACACCAACTGAGGGTCGAGAAGGCTGGACGATGCGATCGGTGCAGATCCGCCCTGTTCCTGCTGTGGCTGCTCCTGCAGTTCCTGCTGCTCCTGCAGCTCCTGCAGCTGCTGCTGTGCCGTCGGACCCTGATCGAGGCTTTTGCCGTCGTCGGCCGTCGGACCATGCATCCCGATAGGTCCTGCTGCAGATTCGGTTGTTGGTGTCTTTTTGCCGTTACTAAAGACGTCGCTTGCTGCGCTCGAGAGGGCCGATGCAGACGAGACACCGCCTGGTGTGCGGTCGGTACTGGCCGTGGCGCTTCCATTCGTGCCCTGGTATCCACCATTGCTTCCCGAATCGGCACCTCCACTCCCCGTCTTGGCGGCCGCCGCCCCCAACACCGGCCCGTCGCCCTTCAGACTGGGATCAATGTTACTGAGCGTCAAATCATCGACAGGCGCCGCGCCGGGGCCGAGGATGCCGCCAAGGCCATGGTCGTTTTCGAGGAAGCTGATGCCGAGCGTTTTGCGCAGCCGCAGGTAGATGGCGTGGAGCACGCCGAGCGCCGACCGTGCCAGGCTGTAATGCTCCATCATGATCTCGAAGCGCTGGACCGACCAGCGGTAGTGCTGGATGGCTTCCGGCAACAGCTCGGGATGTTCCTTGGGGAACAGGATGTAAATGGCTGCCATCAAGACGAGCGAGTCGAACGTGCCGAAGAAGAGCGAAAACGTCTTGTACTGCTGAGGCTTGAGAGACGCAAAGTACACCCGCTGGACCTGCAGCATCCGGATGCACGCCTTGAGGGCCTCGGTGCGGCTCTTGGCCCGCGTAAAGATGTACGGGCGGTGGAGCGCCATGTAGTTGAATATAATCACCTGTGGCGTCGTGGCGCGGATGCTGGGCAGCCACGCAAACCCAGGCAGGTTGTCGTAGCGCGTGTCCGGGTTGTCCACGCGGAACACGGGTGGCGTCCGCGACTCAATGTCCACAATCGTCTCGTGCAGCTCATCGATGCGGCTAAAGTCGCGGGGACACGGTCCTTCCTTTTCAAACTCGAGAATCGGGCGGAGCGGCGAGATGGCTTCGAACGACCAGATGGCGCGTGACAGCGGTGTCGGGGGATCGTTTTCACCGCGCGCCTGCACGGGCATAGTGGAACGCTCGGCATATGTCTTGGGCATGATGCAGTCGATGGGCAGCGTCATGCGGGCCGTGGGATCGACGGTGATGGGCCGGCCAAGAATCGCACCCATTTGGATGTCCCAGCTGACGAGCGTCATCCAGAGGCGGCGGCGGCGCTGTATCTCCCACTGGTTTTCGAGAACGGCTTCGGCAGTATTGGCCCATGGTTTGGGGTCCATCGAGGTGCGATGCAACCCGACCTCTTGCGCGTCACGAATGGCACCTCCAATAGCGTGCCACTGAGAATTGCATTAGAAACATGAACTGTCGGGTGAGGGTGACAATAGTTTGGGGAGGGAGAGGGGAGTGGGTGAGTTCATACAGCTTCCGTAATGAGGGCCACATATTTCAGGAAAGCGCCTCGTGCAAACGCAGCCAACACCGTCGTAAACGACATTTGCCGCTTGCCCAGAAGCGACAAGATGCCCATGCCAGCTTCGGAGTAGTCCAGAGCCAGGTCCTCGCCGGTGGCATTGTTGGCATGCTTGATTCCGTCAAAAAACGCCATGTGCTCCTCATTGTTCGGTTCGAGCATGAGCAGGCCCATGGCCATGACGTTGAAGAGAAGCGCGGGGAATGCGCGCAGGTCCGGGGACAGCTGGTTCGGCGATTGCAGCGTTCCAAAGGGACCCATGGCGACGTCAGTCCAGTCATTGAGCTGCTTTTCAAAGACGTCTTCGTCAATGGCATAGTAGTTCCAGTTGTACTCCTTGAAGTAGGTGTCGACGAGGCGGTCGATGGCGGCGCGTGGTGGCAGCTCGCGGACGAGGGCTCGGTATCGGTCCGCTGTGCCGTAGGGATCGCCAATCTGCGGCCGCTGGTGGAGTTGGTGGTCAAACGAGGGGTGTTGGGAGTGGATGAGCTTGTGGGACTCGTGCTGCTGCTGCTGCTGTGTTGTCGTCTGCTTCGCTGGAAACTGGGAGGTACCGTTCTGCTGGTAGTAAAACCGCTGCTGGGCCATTGCAGCAGCATGTGCGGCTTCCGTCGTTGGTACCACGGCCGAACCGTCCAGTTTTTCCGATACCATACTGGCGAGGGTCGCGCTGTCTGTGCCGCTGCCGCCTGCGGACGGCCCTTTGCCGTCCGGCCCCCACTGCTCGCCGACATCTCCGCCGCCCGCAACATTGCTGCCACGTCCGCCGTCGAGCCGATTTAGGAATCCAAGAGTGTTGGCGGCGCTTTGTGCGTATCCGAAACCAGCCGCCTTCACGGGTATGGAGCCGCCGGCCTGCAGCGCGCGGCCGTACGAGGCGGCCTCAAGGACGCGCATGTGGTGTCGTTCGCGCGACATGGCGACGGTCTCGTAGTGGCAGCTGGCCTCCATCTTGCGGTCGATGCAGGCCTTGCACGGCATGTTGCGGTCGCACTTTTGCTTTCGCCGGTGGCACTCGGCGCATGACACGACACGGCGCTTGCGTTTGCGCAGCGGCGGCGCGCCACCCGAGCCCCTTGCTGTGCCGTTTGCGGAAACGTCGCCATTCGGTTCGTTGGTCACGGAGCCACCGCCCGACCCGCTGCCGGGCGAGCCATCACTCGGAGACATGGAGACGCCGGCCTGCTGGTCGTCGCTGTCGTCCAGGCTGGCCGTGCGCTTCTTGGAGCGTGCCGCCGTCATACTGGGCCACGCTCTTCTGGGGAGCAAATGCCGGCTTGGAGCCGTTCCGGGAAGAATGCACGGAGAGAGAGAATGTGTTGTCAGAATCAACAGATCGAGGCAAAGCAAGGCGCGTAAGCTTGCGGCGAATGATCCTCAAAAAGCGGCAGCGCGCGCGGGAGTGCGGCCGTTGTGTAACTGACGTATGCTCCGGAGTTAGCAGCGTGTTGTCTGCTCTGGTTTAGCACCGGTTGCTACGCCGAGAGATCAATGAGATCTGCAATTGGTCGTGAAATGCCGAGTATGTGATGACACTGAAAAAGGGGGGAAAAGGCTTTTTGTTCAACGGCAATTGCAGAGCAAAAGTTTGAGTAAAACGGAAGGTATGGGCATCCCGATCGCGGTTTCCCGTACTTTGCCTTGGGTGCGGGGCGAATGCAGCAATACTTAAAAAAAAAGGCAGTAGACGGAACGGCAACAGCAGGCCAAAACAGCCTGCCGTTTAACGGGGAATTAATAAGACTTCAAAGCTCGGGTTGCCAGGTGGAAAGACGCACTCTCAGAGGAAGGAAAAGAGAAGAAAAGCAGGACGACGACAGGCGATTTCGCCAAACACTCCATCCAATGGCAGCCCCGCCCAAAAGGAAGGAGAGTGTTAATGTGTCGTACTCTGCGTAGCGCTTTCCTTTCTCGCGCGGTTTCTCCAAAATGGCTGACAAACTTTTTCTTCGCTCTTTCCTCACTGGCGATCGGAGATAAGAATGCCTCAGCGCCACTTCTTCCCTTGTCGTCATCCAAGTTTTGGAGGAGCTTTTCCCCGCCAATGACCTTTTACAGGAAAGAGCAAACTCATAACCAAGGCGGGCTAGCGAATCACAAAAGTCTTAAGAAGGAGCATGCCAACCGCTGGACAAAGGAATACCACATTCGTTGAACACAAACGGCATTCTTTCTCCAACAATGAGTGCCTAGACATGGAAACGACCCAGAGATCATTGAAACATTGTTTACGAGGCAACTGTAGCATACTCTGGACCGAGAGCCTCATCGCAGTTGAGTGCACATATGGTTAGGTGCGTCGGATTATGTTCAGTGGCAATGATATGCAAGTTACGATGTGCATCCTTTTTATTCCCCTGGACGGTGTGCTCTCATTGTTCTGTGGCTACAAAAATTCCAAAAATCCCATGACACGCAGAAATAGTACTCGAAACAATAAAAAAACAAAATGGTATAAAATGACGAGCATTCCAGTTTCCGCCTTCTCCTTGCACATCGCAACTCTCAAACAAAAGCACTGACCCTTGTCTTTGCTCCTTGTGTTTTTGTCGCATGTATCAATGTTCCAAACCCCCCCGTTCTCGCGTCGCCTCATTGCTGCACACGGGCCAGGTACGCCTTCCATGCTTTCCGCCTGTACCGCTCCGCCTCGGACGGCGGGTCCACCGCCGTGATGATGCCGCGGCCGACAATGACAATGTCGGCACCGCAGACGCCAATCAGCCGTGCCGGCGTATTGTACTGCTGGCCCATGCCGTCGCCAGGCAGCACGCGGCCATTCGCATCGGTCTTCTCCTCAAACTCCTCGCCGGGCGGCGGCAGCTTGCAGCCGGGCGTCAGATGCACGAAAGTGTCGTCGGGCGCCGTGTTGAGCGTCTCCTGGGCAATAAAACCAGCGACAAACGTCTTGTGCGCGCGGGCGGCGTCAACGCAAGCCTGCGTGTACGCGGGCGTCATGAGGTTGCCCTTGGTGGACATCTGGGCCAACAGCAGGATGCCGCGGTCGAGGGGCGCCTCCTCGATGCCCGGATAGACGGCGCCAGCGCCGTCCTGGATGTAGCTGCTGCCGGCCGCGGCGCCCGACCGGCCGCTGCCGCTCGTGCTGTCGGCCATGTTGGTGCCGTCCTGGTGGTAGGTGCCGCCAGACGCGCTGTGCACACGGCCGTCCGTGCCGTCGCGCGGTAGCCGGGGCGAGTCGACAGGCTCGAAACTCTGGGTCACGGTCGTGACGGACACTATGCTTCCTTTCCGGCCGTCGGTGTCGCGCGAGGGGGTGGGGAGACCGCCGGAATCAGCATTCGCGCGTGGGGCGGAGGAAAAGAGGTTCGAGGGGATCGAAGTCGTCAACGAGGACGTCGGCGCGGCGCCCGACTGCGAAGGAAACTCGGACACGTGCTGCGTGTTCGGGGTGGCAACGCCGCTGGCGGTGCCACTGCCGCTGTCGTCAAAGCTATCGAGGACAGGCGTGCCGACGGTGACCGACGTCTTGACCTCGTAGTGGACACGCTCGCGCCAGTGGGCAGCCGCATCAGCGAGGGCAGTCACGGCGGGCAGACCTGCGTCCATGTTGACCGTCACCAGGTGGGCCCACTCAATGATGCGGGCCGTACCGGCGGTGTACTGCTGCTGCACGGTCTTGCCAATGTCGGCAAACTTGCGGTCCTCAAACAGGAGGAAGCCGTGCTTGCGGGCCAGGGCCGCCAGCTGGGCACCAGTGCCCGTCTGCGGGTTGTAGTCCCATCCGGTGACAAGGTCGTAGTGGGTTTTGAGGACGACGATGGAGGGGCCGACGCGGTCGGCGAGGAGCAGCAGTTCGCGGGCCGTCGACACGTCGGCGCTGAGACACAGATTCGAAGACTTGGCGACCATCAAGCGGTAGAGATAGGCAGTCAGCGGGTGTGCAGCGGTTTCTGCGCGCTCTGCAAAAGGCGTCACAAAGGACGGATGGTGCTGTGTGGCGCCCATGGTGGGGGATTGGCGGCGGACGAGAGGATATGGTGGGAGGAATGGCGGACGAGAGGATATGGTGGGAGGAATGGCGGATAGAGTAAGATCGGAGGGAGAGCGCTGATAGGGCCCCGTAGTGAGAGACAAAGGAGCGGCCACGAACTGAAAGTTCAATTTGGAGATGGACGATCGGTAGCCGGAAAATGAGAGTAAATAAAGGATCAGAAAAGGAACGCAAAACCACAGCAAGAACGACCACGCTGCTCTCGTGAGGAAAGACGTTTGAATTTTTCGGGCAGAGGCCTCAACGGGAAAAAAACCGTCCACTAAAAAGTCGAAAAACAGGGCTAAGAATTGAGTACTTTGGCAATAGCGCTAAAAAAAATATCAGGGGAGATGGGGGCAACACGACGGGATGAAAGGGCGCTATGGGGCAGTGCCGCCAAAAATATTGGGACCGCTTGCAGATATTGGGACTGGCCGAGTGGTATGGCAGGTACGTGGGACGGTGAAGGCGAATGCAGCTGACCTTTTGATCTCGTGATGTCGAACAGGCACGGAGTCTAGGTCAATACACCAGCGTTAATGCTACAGAACAAGCAGGAGCTGATAATAAGGGAAAGAGGAACGGACATGCCCGTCTTTTATGGAAGTGACGAGGGGGGCGCGAGGAATGAGCAACTGCCGTTGGAAGCGAGGGGAGGGGCTGTCAGGGGTCCATGAGAACGAGCATGAAAGATGGCTGGTCAAGAAGGAGCCAGACTTGACCAACGAGCAAATGGAAGGAGCCTTGAGTAGTCACAAATCACAAGCTGGTACGAGACATGTCAAAGAGCTCGATGAGGGACAGGGGGCCAATAAAATATCTACGGACATCAGCCTTGGGTGAGAAAAACGCGGGACGAAACTCAGTGCTCGGTGGGACATGGAGTAGAGGAAACGAAGAAACGAACACGGCGCCCAGAGGTCGCGCCGCCATGGAACCGAGGAAAGTGAGGAGGCGAAAGGGGAAAGAATCAGAAAAGCGACAACGTCTATTCTGTACACCCAGAGAACAACCAAGCGTGCGGAGTGAGGAGAAGGGGGTGCTGGCTGTTGGAGACAGAGCAAGGCAGGAAAAGGCCAAGGCGTCCCGACAGTGCGGTAGCATCGATGTGACCAAACAGAGGACGGATGGTCAGTCCAGATAAAAGAAGCTATATTTGCTAAGAGGATGAAAATGCTGGGCATGCAGTCAACAGACGGCGTCTTGTGAAGGCAAGCAAAGACGCACCACAAATTTACGGAATGTAGCGTGGCCTGCAACGGGGTTCGGTCAAGGCATTCAGAGCTTTCAAGCGTCGTTGGAATTCAGGGTCCGATGACAGTTGAGCACCGATCACACTCTCATCCACCCCCTCCACCCGCTCCTAGAAAGATCGACTGGTCCAGCAGCTGGGCAGACCGCCGGACAGCCATTCCCGTGGTCCTGGTACGAGTGGACGCAAAAAGGGGGCACCTGCACGTCTCGGCTAAGTGACAGGCCTCTGTCCAACTCGACGACGATCAGGGGGACTGTGGCAACACTTTGTCGTTGAGACATCAGAGACAGCATTTGAATATGGAATTCGAGCAACATGTCGATATGGATGCCAGCTTGAACGCCGCATTTTCGTCTGAGAGATGCGACATGTCGCTGGCTGTGACGGGCTTGAAGCTTTTCCATTCTTGTGATCGGAAGAGAGGAATTTGGTGCATTGGTTTGCACCTGCCATTTTGAGATCAATTGCGAAAAGGCAAGAACGACCTCTTCTGTCAAATACGGTAATAGAAGCAGGAACAACCGGGGAAACATAAGAGTAAACCGTGACGACGCTGCTTACCCTCGGATACTATCCAAACACTGATGCCAATGCTGACGTTGGTCCGGAGTCCCAATTGTGCCTGGGCAGAGTGAGCCCAAGTCGAAGACGCCGTGACGCGCAAACCTGAACGCTAAAATGCTCTTGCAGCACGTCACGTCCATCTTATCGCCGTTGGTGCTCCGTATCAATTGACAGGGTCAGCCATCGCGCCTGCCGCACCGCAGAAAAGTCAGAGGAAGGAAGGCAATTGCCTCCTATTTTCTCTCTGCATTTCGTTACGGGGCCCCACTTTCCTGCCCTGCAGCTTAGCAACTAGCGCGACCGGCCGATCCGCTAAGCTGCTTCCCTCAATCATCACCAGCAAAAATACGTCGTATTTACCAGCAAAAAATGCCCCCAAAGCAAAAATTCGCTGTTGCCTCCCCTTTCGCGTTACCGTCTACTGGCCGCCGTTTGCTCCTTCCACGCTGTACCACTCCGTGTTGGTTCCTTCCTACGCCAGTCTACCGTCTCTGATCGTTTAAGTTCGCCCTCCTTCCTTTTTTACTTACTCTTTCCTCGGCCACGGCTGCATCTTTATCTAGCTGCAGTATCTATTATCTCTCCCTTTTCACTTCATACACTCTTTTCCCTATCTCGACTCGATCTGGATCGCGTGCCAGCCGACAACCCCCCGTTCGACTTCTCCTTATCTCGGTGCCTCCTTGCAGTACTTTTGGGCCCTCTTTGACCTCACCTTGTAGGCGACACGATCATTCCTCCAAACTTTCTTCTTTGGCCTCTCTCGCGATCTTTTCGGTTGACTCGAGTTCAACCTCACATCGCCCCAACTTCAGCTCCTATCACATCCGAAGATAAGACCGACGTGCCCGACGGTTTAGACGCCTCGCGACGCCTTGTAGAAGCTCACCCAGCTTCAACGCGACTCTTGCAACGACTCTTCTAACGCCCAGAGTGTTTGTTATATATCTCGACGAACCGGCCACGTCTATGCGATATCCTTCGCGACGCAACCGACGACGACGCACGCTTCTTAACACTGTGCGCCTCGTCATTGGGACTGGTATCCCTGGTATTAGATATTACACAACCATAGAACCCAGCAATCTTCCCACATCCAAACCATGAACGGCGTGCGTTCGCGGAGGCAGGCGTCTGCCGAGAAGAAGGAGTCGAGTCCAAACGCAAAGGGAAGCAGCAATGGCAGCGGCCACGGTCATGCTGCTGCCGCCGCTACATCTGACGAGCCATACCCGCGCGAGAACATTTTCCTGTTCTGGCCGAACGTGATCGGTAAGTCACGGCGCTGACCTGCAAAGAGCTTCTTTTTGTGGTTTTGTCAAGTCCATATCGATTCTAACCGTGCCTGCTTTGCTCTAGGCTACTGCCGTATCGTCCTGGCCATCGCCTCGCTCTACTACATGCCGCTGCATCCCCGCACCTGCTCACTCCTCTACAGTATCTCGTGCCTCCTGGATGCTCTCGATGGCTATGCCGCACGCTACTTTGAGCAGTCCACGCGCTTCGGTGCTGTGCTCGACATGGTGACCGACCGCTGCACTACCTCCTGCCTGCTCGTCTTCCTGTCGACTGCCTTCCCCCGCTGGGCCATCGTCTTCCAGGGCCTCGTGTCGCTCGACCTTGCTAGTCACTACATGCACATGTACGCCACTCTCGCCATGGGTGGCTCCGATACGAGCCACAAGTCCGTCGACCGGTCGCGGAGCTGGCTCCTCAACTTGTACTACACCAACAAGACGGTCCTCTTCGTCTTCTGCGCCCTCAACGAGCTCTTTTTCATTGCGCTCTACCTGCTCTCGTTCTCGTCCCCCATCCTCCAGCCCTCGCTGCTAAAGCCGATTGACCCGGTGCTGGCGGCCGGCGGCCTGCACGCAGGCGCGCAAATCAACTCGTCCATCTTGCGCCAGATCTTTGCGAACCCGCACAGCGCAGCGGCGCTGGAGATGGCCCGGGCCAACAAGATGGACTCGTTCTGGCCGTGGGTCCTGGCGGGTGTCAGCTTCCCCATCATGGCCGGCAAGCAGATCCTCAACGTGATCCAGCTGGTCAAGGCAAGCAAGTGGCTCGCAGAGGGCGACGTGCAGGCCCGCCGCGCTGCCGGTCTTCCCCGCCGCCGGTAAATGCTGCCAGCAGAGAAACAACAATCCGGTGCTACTGTCGTCCGACAGGCCTACCCGGCCGTCGTTCACCACCTTTGACATATTCTTGTTTATAATCTGGCGCATAACATTAAGCCCCCCCTACAGTCTGCTTGCACCTATATTCGCTTTTGTTGTTCTTCACTGTTCGTTTCGACTCGTCGCACCCCCTTCTCCTCTTCGACTTCTTTGGACTTCTTTGGAATCTCTGACCAACAAGGCCTTTAACAAAGTTAACAACATATCACCTTTTAAAAAATCGGGGGGTGTTCTTTGCTCTTCTCGTTTCATCTTTTAATTCGCCTTATAATTATGTTCTTCACTCCTTTCGTTTATTATTTATTATTGCATTCTCTTACACACTACCCTACATTATTTCTCTCCCTTTGCTTTTTTTTATTCTCTGTATTTTTTGCATCAGACCTTCTTGTCCTCGACACTGCAAGATCCAAGGGGTGGGGAAAGGAGTGGCGTTTTTACATAATTTTTGTGTATTTTGTTTATACTTATTGTTATTTTGGTTGTTCTCCATGGAGAGAGGATATGCCAGCAGACTGGGAAGAATGGCAATAGTCCCGGTTGTTTTCTACTTGTCTTGCAATTTTTTTGTTGTCACGCCACAGAGTGATTCCTGGGAAACAGTATATAGATCTAGGAGCAACGAGATTACTTTTGGACTGTTTTTTATTTACTCGTCTTGTGTTGTATTCTTTACTCGAACCACGCCTTTCAAGCGTTGCTTGCGTTTTGCGGTCTCAACACTGGCCGATGCTGTCGGACTACTTTCGCGTCCGCTTTGACAACACGACAGCCACCTAAACGCCACTGATGCAAGTAAAGACGAAACCTGCCATCGATCACCTGGTGTGAGTCCGGGACGATCAGAGACCGTTTAGCAGGTCAATATCGTGTTTACAACGCGCGAGAAATAAGGGTATATTCTTGTGCCAGTCTGTTCGTAAAGTAATGTGATGTCAACTTCGTATCCAACAGTGTTTCCAAAACCAAATCTATATTTTATACATGTCGCGTTTTCATCCTGCACCGTACTCAGTATCAGTTCTCTGGCGTCCAGTTCCACCGTCGGGCCGTAAAAAGCTGTCTTGCCATGCGATCAGCAGCTATACTTCCCTCGTATCGTAAACGCTGGTCACCGGCCAAGGATCGCGTGAACCGGAACACTTGGGGTGTGTACTGGTCCGTCTTGGCCGTCACGGCAGACCCCGACGCAGGCTTCCCAAAGGACGGTGTCCTATCATCATTGCCGTCAGTGCCATCCCCGTCGAGATCCGAGTCGTGGCCGTCCTCCGCGCAACCGTCGCCGTCGAGCAAACCCGCGGCTTCAGCGGCCGCCAGCCAAGACGCCTTTCCGTGACGAACCGCCATCCAGTCATGCCGGTGCAGCCCCACGGCACTCGCCGCGAGCATCGTCTGGACATACTCGAGGATGGGTAGGATGCGCGTTCGGAGGCCGCAATTCACGTGGTGCTTGTCGAGCTGGTAGGCCGGACACTGCTTAAGCGTTGAGAGGATGTGGTGCACGTCAACGGCAGCGTAGTCGGCAGGAGACAGACGCGGCTGTTGCGTGCGACCTTTGCTCATGACCGTCGACGAAAAGTCCTGCAGGAAGAGCAGATCTTTGTGGAACAAAAACTTGACAATCTCGCCGAGCTGAAACGAGTCGCACGCCGCACTCGACTCGTAGCCCATTTTGCACTGCCGCCGGTTGCGCGACGTGTAGAGCGCCAAAAAGTGCCGCGGTACAGATGCGATGCAGTGGACAATGCATGCCCGCCGGAACTGCAGCTCGCTCTCCAGACCGTCGGGCAGATCCCACCAGGCTGGCAGCTCCTGGCCACGATGGGAGGTGGCTCTACCGCTGCCGTTGCCATTGGCGAGCTCCGCGCTGCCGTCCTCTTCCTCGCCAGACATTGCTGCCGCCCACCGCGCTGAGCCGTACAGGATGAGCTCCCGTGTGCCGGCATGAAACCGCAAGGGCTGGTCAAGCAGCCACGCCATAAAGACCTTCTGCCGGATGGCTTCCTCATTGGTCATACCAGGAAGGCCGCCACCACTAGACCCGCTTCCGACGCCGAGGCCACCGTCACTCCGTGTTGAGCGGACAATTGGCTGCGGAAAGCGCAGCCGCAGTGCACGCACGTACGCAGCCGCTGCATCCGTGCAGGCGAACCTGTCTGCCTGCAGGGCTAGAGTAGCCAGCTCAAGAAGTGTTGGGGGCGTCTTGGCAGACCAGCGTGTCCCGGGCAGGAGGACAGGATGTGTTTGCCGTGCCGAGCTGTTGTTCTGCGTAGCCGTGTCTGAGTTGGCCCCTTTTCGCGACGGCACAGTCCTTCCCGACAGCGGGTTGGTTTTAGCGGGCCTTCCTTTTGGTGCAGCTGCTGCCGTCCGGGACGCTCCATTGGTTTTCGCTTTCGATTTCGAATTCGACTGTGGGCTTGCGGCCTTGTCTGCTTGGTCTCCATTGTCGCTATTCATATTAACAGCCACTGGTGCGACTGTGCCATCCCAGTGCAGGATCCGCAAGAGCTCGGCAAACACAAGCTCACGTCCGGTGGTACGGCTGCCCTCGTCGTCGTCGTCGATGTGGACCCGTGGCAGACGAGTCACGTCCGCATCGGCAGGTGTGACATCGGCGAGGGCCAACGCTGCAAGTCCAGCCTCGACTGTCCGCGCTTCTTTGAAACGTGTGTCACCCAGCAGGTTTGCAAAGTAGCGCGAGTTCTTTTTCAGGGCCGACGACTCAACCCGGAATGCCATTGGAAGTTTTGGCTTCAAGGCGGACGTGAGGTCAGTGGTCGCGGTCGCCGGAGTAAAGGTCCTGTTTGCCTTCTTGCGGGTCGCTCGCAGCGTCTCTCTAGACGTCTCAAAGAGCACGTCAAGCACGACGTCGCCGCGCGGGGAGATGGTGACTATGCCATCAATGTTGCTACTGGTGCCATTGCTCTCCGTCACCGCATTCACCGCACCGTTGACCGCCGCTGTTCGTTTGCCACCGTCTGCCACTGCCGCCTCGGACGGCTCGTCATCCATCGCTTTGGGAGGTATCCCAGCAGCTGGTTTCTCATCTGTGTAGAGGGCGAGCGCAACGAGGAGAGTGTAGAGGAGTAAATGTGGCCTTTCTGAGCCTGAGACGCAAACCCGTTGAGATTGTTGAGAAAGAGTGAGGTTGAGGTTGCAGACTAGTGTGGAAGTTGAAGCTGCCAAGGTTGTGGCGATATGTTAGCGAGCCTCGTTGAGACGGCGCTTTCAGGCAGCAAGCTACTGTGCCAGGGCTGCGACTTCCCCCACCGGATGCGCTAAAACGCCCCTCCCAGAAATTACAATGCACGTACGGCAAGTGCTGCCCCCTTCTCACTTTCCCCAAGCTTGCCTGTTCCTGGGACAGGGTTACTGGCAGGGAAGGTGCTACTGTCGGGCGCGGGCTGCGAAACCTTCTCCGGAATAGTTCCTCCCGACCGCCAACATCGCTCCTTCTCTCTTTGCCCTAGGTTTGCGACCAGTCCTTTCCTTTTCCTTTTGGGAAGGCGCATTCACTTCCCCCTTTTGCAATGCTCACGACATCCTCCATTTTCACCTTCATTCGTTTTCCTCTGTCAAGCTGCAACTCGCATCCGCCCGCAACCCCTTCTCCTCGGTGGCGGCGAAGGGGTATTTCTACACGCCGCCCTATGTATTTCGTTTGTCGGCTGCGGGAACACAAACGCGGTCGGGTATAGCCGCGTCGTCGGAATCGACTTGACACCGGCTGAGCGCTTTTCCTCAGTCGCTCAGCTGTGTTTCGCCTGCATCTCACCTTAATCTGCAGCTCCTCCCACCTCTCTCGTCTACGTCTGCATTCGCTCTTTACTTTACATTCTCTTTTGTCCGTTCTTCGTGCCCTCGTTCCGGCAAAGCTGCGCTGTGCAATCACACACCGGCCCGGAGGAACATCTACTCTCTTTTCCTCCCAGATCGCTACCTTTCTTCCTCAGCAAGCTACCGTTTGATCGCCAATTGGCCGCCCTGGACCTCCGGTCGCCTGTCAGTGTCACCAAGAAGAACACTGAAGCTGCCTCTGAAGCTACCGGGAAGGTACCTTCCCATGGCGCCGCCAATAGATTACCGCCTGGCCAGGGCGAGCGCATCCGGTCGACAGCTAGCTGTCCTCTCACCTCAGACAAAACGGCTCGCCCTTCTCGACGCATTCATGGGCTACGTTGCGACCTTTCTGGCCCACGGACGCCAACCGCGGGCAGCGGCATACAGCACGCATCGGAGCGGCTACACACATCCGCAGCAACGAATGAGGCGCGCCAAGGAGGACATAGTGCGACCGACAGCTCTGTCCCCAGCAGCGACCGCAGCCCAGCTCCGATTGCCACGCCTAGTACCTCTGCCCGTGACTTCGTCGGTGGCTTTGTCAGTCGCTCCGGCCTCCCGTCGCTTCTTCCACAACTACTTTGTCACACACATCCCTTCCTCGTCCCTCCACCCGGACTCTCGCCGCTTGACGGGCCCCCACCACAAGCTGCCGCGAGCTGCCTCAGTACCGCACACGCCTGAGCCCCCGGGCACCACTGCGCCACTGCCTGCCACGGCTGCCCCGACCACCATCTCGACAGCGTCGCCCGGTGACGGTGTTGCTGGCGGCAGCAGCCTCGGCTTTGGTCGCGACATGACCGTCGTGCGCATCCCGTTGCGCAGTGCCAAACACCACTTTGGCGCGTCCAACGCCCGGGGCAGCCGGCCCTACAACGAAGACACGAACCAGGCCGGCACGATCGACATGCCCGCGTTTGCCAAGCGCGCTCCCGTCTCGCTCGTGCGCTCGGCCATCTCCAACAGCCGCAGCACGGGCGAAGGGATCACGGCCGATGGTGTTGGCGGCGACCCACAAATCTTCTATTTCGCCGTGTTCGATGGCCATGGCGGCAATGAGTGCTCGGATTTCTTGCGCGACGAGCTGCACGGCTACATTGAGGAGGCTGCTGTGGACTTTGGTCTCACGAGTACCCTTCGACGGAAAGCGCAACACGGGGCGGCCGCCGGGGTGCAAAGTTCTGTGGTAGAAAAGGAGTCCGACGATGAGTCTGTCAGCAGCAGCAGCAGCAGCAGCAGCAGCAGTGAGCCGCAGCCCGACGAGGACAATGTCACAAAGGCGACCAACCTGCAGCGGGAGCTTCTCCAGGAGTACCGCAGCACAGTAGGAGGTTACTTCCGGCGCTTCAAGCCAGCGTGCTTTGCCGATGGCATCTCCTTGCCCTCGTCACGGGCGGCATCGGCCTCTTCCGCGTCGGCACCCATGTCGTCCTCGCCAACGCCACCGGTCACCATCGAGTCCGTCTTGACGTACGCCTTTTTACGGGCCGACCTCGACTTTGTCTCCGCCCAAGCGAGCAAACCCGACCCTGACGACCCTTACGTATCCGATTTTCCGCTCAACCAGGATGAAATCCTAGGCGCGCCGCATCACCGCACACCCTCGGGTCACGATATTGGCGGCCCCGTGCGCTTCAAGGGCGGCTCGACGGCGTCTGTCGCTCTCATATCGACGCCCACGCCCGCGCCCTTCTGGCACCCGGCCGCTCGCTCGACACTCATGGTCGCCCACGTCGGTGACACGCGCGTCCTGTTGTGCGAGACAGCCACCGGCGAGGTCCGGCCGCTCACGCGTGACCACCACCCGTCGTCGCCCGTCGAGGCCCGCCGCCTGACCCGCTTTGCCGAGTCGCTCGTGACCGACTCCTTTGGCGAGGAGCGCATTTCCGGGCTGGCCAACAGCCGCGCGTTTGGCGACATGCAGTCCAAGCGCATTGGCGTGTCGGCAGAGCCCGAGATGGAGCGCGTGGACCTGGGCCCAGCACAGTTTTCGTTCCTGGTGCTTGTCTCGGACGGCGTGTCGGGCACGCTCAGCGACCAGGAGATTGTCGACGTCGTCAAGGAGGCACGCACGCCCGAGCAGGGCGCGCGCGCGGTGGTCGAGTACGCGACCGAAGTGTCGCAGGACGGCGACAATGCGACCTGCTTGGTAGTGCGCCTGGGCGGCTGGGAGCGGCGCAGTGAGGGTGGCTTGGGCTCGATGGGCACCAAGGAACTCCGGGATGCGCGACGCTCCGAGGCAAACGACCCGAGACGTGGACGGATGTAATATTGCTGGTTGACGGTGGGGTTTTGGCGATTCGATCCTAATTGTGACGATGCTTTGACTTGTCGTCTCAGCTGCATCGTTGAGCATATTCTGCCACATATTTAATATTCTTTTCCCGCGCTGTACATATGTTTTGTCGTCTTTTCTGGCATCTTCTGCATCTTCTGGCATCATCGTTGCGTCACATCACACGTTCATAAAGCCACCTTGGCCTTTTGCATCCTAGCGTATGAAAACATATGCTCAACTAGATATACACGGCATCCAATTTTAACCTTTTCTCAAACATAAAACACACTTCCCTGGCCACATGGACTTATACCAACATGGTCCCGTATGTCGTTAAATGATCCCCCGCCCCTACTTAATACTGTCGCTGGTACGGCGGCTGGCCCCAACTACCAGGCGGACCCTGGCCGTAGGGAGGCTGTCCATAGCCGGGCTGGCCACCATACTGGCCGGGCGGAGGCGGGCCGCCCTGGAAACCGTAGCCAGGTGGCGGTTGTCCGTAGTTGCCGAATACAGGCCCGCCCTGAGGGCCGCCGCCGTAGTAGCCTTGCGGAGGCTGTGGCTGCTGGTTCTGCGGATACTGGTGATACTGTGGAGGTGCTTGCTGCTGCTGGTAATGCTGAGGTGCCCCGCCGCCGCCTCCAGCCGCTTGCGGGTGAAGGTATGAGTCGGCAGCACCACCCGATGGAGGCTGTGCGGACGCCGCGCTGCTGCTGCCACCGCCGCTGCCGCTATTGCTGTAGCCGAACGCAGGCGAAGATTGCGACGCGGGACGGTCTGGCGCTGGAGACGCAGACATGTAGTTGGTTGAAGCATTGCCATCGCGGCCGTCCATGGCGTCCAGGTCGCGCGTCTTGAACTGCGAGAAGATGGCGTTGGCCACGGAGCTCGAGCCACCACCACCACCACCACCACCACCACCACTGCCAGTCAGGTTGCCCAGGTTGCCCAGGTTGGTCAGCTTGGAGAGGTTGGACCAAGTGCTGCCACCGCCACCGCTGCCATGCGAGTGGCCGCCGCCACCTCCCCCGCTGCCGTGCGAGTGTCCGCCACCACCCGGTGCGGTCTGGCCGTTTGCCAGCACATGGTTCTTGCCGTCCTTGACGGACTGAGACGACAGCAAGTGGTCCAGCTCGTGGCGACGCGGGTACTCGTTGGCCCAGCGGCGGACCGTCTCGAACATTTCACGCTGGATCTGGTTGCGCTCATCGCGGATGGCGGGATGGTGGAAGGCGTGCAGCACATCGTTGACGACCTCGTCGACGGGTACGCCGGTGTTGTCCCACGCGTAGAGGACACGCGGGACGGTGTACTGCAAGACGGTGGCAGCGACACGGCCGGCACACGAGTTGAGGACGTTGGTGAAGTGGTCTTTGGACAGCATCGAGTGCGTCGGGTTCGTGCAGCGGGGATCCGTCCAGGGCTCGAGCTGGGACTTGGCGCTGGCGTTGATGACGCCCGACGAGCCGTCCTTGAGCACCTTGCTGACCTGGTTGATAATGGGGCGAATAAACGGGGCAAGAAGGCCAAGGACAAAGGCAGACAGGGTCTCGCTGATGTGCTCAATAAGCTTCTCGAGGCCCGGGATTTTGGAGATGGTGCGGTTGATGGCGCGGACAATCTTGTCGCGGAACTCCAAGATGGGGTAAATCTTGCGGGCGGTCTCGACCGGGTCAAAGGACGCGCTCATCCCCGGCACTAGGTTCTGGTTCGTGCTGCCACTGGCCGTGGAAGACGACGACGGCTTCTCGCTGTTCGAGGGAGCAGCGCCCAAGGAAGGCCCGTTCGGATCGACACCAGCACGCTGGTTCTGGGCTTCCTGCTCGCGTGCCACAGCCTGGAGATGAGTGGCCTCCCGAGCAAACTCGCCACCGACGCCAGGGAGCTGAGAAACCAGCGAAATAAAGTCGTTGCCGCTGCCGCCGCTGGACGGGCCGAAGATGCCACGGCTGCCATCGCCGCCGCCGCCACGGGACTGGTTCTCGGCGTTCTTGAGGGCCATGTCGACCTCGTCGACTTCGGACTGCGTAAAGTGATCTGTCGCCTCGCTATTTCGATAAGCTGTCAGTATATTTTACCACTGCCCCTAAAATAAAAAAATATATAAAAATATAAAAAAAAGGCAACGATAGGACAAACCCAAGAACAGAGTGGAGGAAATCCACGGCGCCAAACGTGCCGGTGACAATCGGGTACACCCGCTTGCCACGCAAGTTGATCTCCGCGCTGGTGCCGCAGTGGGCAAACACCTGGTGGTGGCCGAGCTCGCGCAGGGCCAGCTCGCAGTAGTTGCTGTGGGCGCTAAAGTCCTCCATGCAGTGCAGGGCCTGGCCGAGACACCGCAGCGCCTCGCACAAATCGGCCTCCTTGCCGGCAGCGCCATGGCCGCCGTGCAGGTACAGACGGCCAAAGTGGATGCTGCGGGCAAAGCTGAAACGCAGGTAGCCGGCACTCGTCGCCCAGCCGCCGCGCTCGTTGGCAATGTAGTTTTTCATGCCGGTGTCCGGGTCGATCTCGAGCTCGCGGGGGTCGACGGGCCCTCGCAGACGCGGGTCAAACTTGCGGGCGTCCTCGCCGTCGGCGTAGCCCAGCGGGTTGTCAATGTGCTCCTCGGGGCGGTAGACGCCGAGACGCTCCTCGGTAACCTCAAACTCCTCGGTGGCGTAGCCAAAGGCCAAAAAGGACAGCACCCAGACGAGGATGCGGATTGTGGCGGCGTTGACGCCCTTGAGACTGCCCACATCGACGGCCTGGGAGTAGTCCCGCAGCCAGTTGCCAAAGTAGGTGCGCTGGACGAGCATGGTGGTCCATTTCTTGCCGTGCAAGAAGGCCAGCGTCTTGAGCATGTCCTCAATGTCGCCATGCCGCCAGTTGACGCCCTCTACCTGGGCAATCGACGGGATGTTGCCGGCACCAAAAGCTGCAGCCTGGCCCGGCATCAGTGCCAGGAAGGCAAAGAGCAGGAGCACAGGGGCCCAACCGGAGGTCACACGTGCCATGTTTGCCAAATGGGCCGAATACCAAGAGTGGGATGCTGACGACTTGTTGAGATTGAAAATGTGTGCGGTGCAGTTTGTGCTTTGGAGGGGAGTTGTGACGCAAAAGATACAAATTTCCAAATCAGTGGTGGCTCCTGATGCGATGCACTTTAAGCTTATATGCAGGCAGGCGCTCGGGAGATGGTGAGGTCACAGGCACGGCAGGAACGAAAGGAGGGGGGGCTGTCGAGCTTCTACAGGAGGCCCCACGTTGGATGGGCAGGAGGGCTCCTGCCAAGAACAGCAGCTGAACAACACCGTTCTTTCTTGTTGACTTTCAGTTATCGCGATAAGAGGAAGGAGGCACCGACAGAAGCTAAAATAGGCGGGTGTAAGACTTTTTTAGTGTGCCGAGGCGTGATTGGCCGTATTGGGGCCATTTGCCCCTCCAGTACTTGCATCTGCACACAAACTGCGTGGTATCATATGTACCTCTTATCGGTCGCGTCGCGTTCGCGGTCAAGCCGGTCACGTGGGAAGAACTTTAACTTTTTTTTCTAGGCTCCATCGACTCTTTTGTTGTCTCTCTCACGCCCTTTCTCTCCCTCCTCTCTCTCTCTTTTTTTCTCTTTCTCTCCTCCCCCCCCCCCCTCTCCTCCTCCTCCTGGTCTACTCTCTTAAACGACAACGTCATCTTGAAACCCTGCACATTCCCGACGATTTGGGATACGGAAAGCAGAAACACGAAACAAGAAAAAAGAGGAACAAGGAAAAAGAAAAACAAAGGAAGCAAAAGAAATAAATATTCGGCCTGCCCCGCCAGCAGAGTTTGCAACCTTTGTTTTCTTCCCACCCTTTTTAAGAGAGAACCAGGGTACCGCCGGCACGATGAAGTACGTGCTGGTATCAGGAGGTGAGTGACCAAGAGGACGGAGAGAGAGGGATCTCTGATGAGAGACAACGAGGACGACAAAATGCCGTAACGCAATGAAATGATGAGACGACGTCATGTGTGTCCCAGAAAACTGTGGCCGGCCTTGGTTCTGACATGTACAGGTGTGATCTCGGGCGTCGGCAAGGGCATTATCGCGTCCAGCACGGGCCTGCTGCTCAAGACCATGGGCCTGACGGTGACGAGCATCAAGATCGACCCGTACATGAACATTGACGCGGGCACGATGGCGCCGACGGAGCACGGCGAGGTGTACGTCACGGACGACGGCGGCGAGATGGACCTGGACATTGGGCACTACGAGCGCTACCTGCTGACGACGCTGACGCGCGACCACAACCTGACGACGGGCAAGATCTACCAGCAGGTGATTGAGCGCGAGCGGCGCGGCGACTACCTAGGCAAGACGGTGCAGGTGGTGCCGCACCTGACCAACGCGATCCAGGACTGGATCGAGCGCGTGGCGCAGATCCCGGTCGACGAGTCGGGCCACAAGCCGGACGTGTGCGTGATTGAGCTGGGCGGCACGGTGGGCGACATTGAGAGCGCGCCGTTCATCCACGCCATGAGCCAGTTCCCGCGCCGCGTGGGCAAGGGCAACTTTATGCAGATCCACGTGTCGTACGTGCCGGTGATCCCGCCGGGCCCCAACGGCGAGCAAAAGACCAAGCCCACGCAGCGCGCCGTCGGCGACGTGCGCAGCGCGGGCCTGCGGCCGGACCTGATTGCGTGCCGCTGCGAGCGGCCGCTCGAGGACGCCGTGATCCAGAAGATTGCCAACATGTGCCAGGTCGAGACCAAGCAGGTGCTGACCGTGCACAACGTGTCCAGCACGTACCACGTGCCGCTGCTGCTGCGCCAGCAGAAGCTGCGCGAGAGCGTCAGCGCGCTGCTGGAGCTGGACGGCGCGGGCGCGCCGGCGCCGGCCAAGGCGCTGGTGGACAACGGCGCCAGGATGTGGCAGGAGTGGGTGTCGCGCACGCGCGCGCAGGACGGCGGCAACCTCGACACGGTGACTATCTGCCTGGTGGGCAAGTACACGAACCTTGAGGACGCGTACATTAGCGTGGGCAAGTCGCTCGAGCACGCGGCCATGTACTGCAAGAAGAAGCTCCACCTCGTGTGGGTCGACTCGTCGAACCTCGAGGACACGGCGCTCGAGGAGCAGCCGGCCAAGTTCCACGAGGCCTGGCACGCCGTGTGCACGGCGGACGGCATCCTGGTGCCGGGCGGGTTCGGCGTGCGCGGCACGGAGGGCATGATCAAGGCGACGACGTGGGCGCGCACCAAGAACGTGCCCTTCCTGGGCGTGTGCCTGGGCATGCAGCTGGCCGTCATTGAGTTTGCGCGCAACGTGTGCAACATCCCCGGCGCGGGCAGCGAGGAGCTGCACCCGGGCTGCGAGAACCCCGTGATTGTCTACATGCCCGAGGTCGACCGCACGAAGCTGGGCGGCACCATGCGGCTGGGCAAGCGCGAGTGTGTGTTCCAGCCCGGCACGGCGGGCTGGTCCAAGTTCCGCGCCTTGTACGGCGACGACGTGGGCTCGATCCACGAGCGCCACCGGCACCGCTACGAGGTGTCGCCCGACAAGATGGAGGCGATTGAGAAGTCGGGCGAGTTTGTGTTTGTGGGCAAGGACGAGAAGGGCGAGCGCGTCGAGGTCATTGAGATCCGCAACCACCCCTTCTTTGTCGGTGTGCAGTTCCACCCAGAGTACCTCAGCCGCGTGCTGGCGCCGAGCAAGTCGTACCTGGGCTTCTTTGCCGCTGCGGCCGGCGTGCTCGACGAGGTCACGGCCTCGTCCAGCGGCAAGCCCTTTGTGGTGTCCAAGGACGTCGACGGTGTGTAAATAGCCAAAGGGATGGTCCACGATCACGTCCAAGGTCCAAGGCCAAGCAGGTCTGGGCCAAGATAGAGTGCATATATATTCGGGATAGAGCAATCTCATGTTTTGCAAATAATACTGGAAGAATTTTTTTCGGCAATTTCACACGCATGTATTTGGAGTTAACTTGTCAATTTTACAGCCAATATTCCACGTCGTGATTCCCCAAACGGCTTCTGTGCAGCCAATGATGACGAAGTTGTGACACGTTTCTTTCAGGCATCCCCTTCCATTCTTCCTGTCCCTAAGGAGGACGCTTCTTATCCTGTGGGTTGCTTCGTTTCGTGCGACACGCCTTCTTCGTATGACATTCCGCAGGTTGGAATAGGGGCAGGTAAAGAACAGAGCAAAATAAACGTGGCTGAGACTGACAACTATATAATGTAATTGAGAAAAACAAAACATCTCCTGCCACAATCTGAGCAAAATTGCAATCAATTTCAACAATGAACAAAGTCGATATCTGCCGCAGAAGTAGAGCCCCGACATGTGGATAAATAGAAGACAAAATATACAAAATGAGTGCACAAGGGGACCAAGGTGGGCGAAGGTGGGGAGACGGACAGAGAGCAGTACAAAACATACGGCAAGAAATACCCAAGAAAGACGACAACAATTGCCGACCATGGGTTCGTCGGGGTCGTTGGCCAGCATGGCAAAGTAGTGCAAGCTTCTGTGTCATGCTTTTCGGTTGTACTTTTGTGATACTATAAAACGTCCATGAATTATGTTATTTTTCATGCTTATTTATTTTTCATCTATTTATTCTGATAACCAACTACTTAGCATTATGTTGGCCACTCGCTTCTGGACCGGTCTGTCCTACTCCATTTTGTTCAGTCGGCAACAGCCTCTGTGAAATTGACATCTATTGCATCAAAGAAACTCTCCACATCGACGTGTCCCGCCATGTTCTGTTGTTACATTTGGACTCTTTTGCAGCCTCATCCAAGCTTGTCACCCCTGCAGCCCTTCCCCAGGACACAACCTTCGCATGGAGGCTCATCTGGACGTGTACATGTCCAACAGACAAACAACTGACAGCACAAACAGCATCGTCGAGAGCGGCGACGCCATCATCAGCGTAGCAATTATGTGCCACGAATTGGACACCTCTCAACGTTGCATCCAATCGTCCCATCACTCCTGCCACGCTTCTGAGGCTCTTTTGACCTTGTCTTGTTCTCCTCGCCAATGACAGACCGGCCCATCCTGTTCACCGACGTCGCTGATCGTCAACGGATACTCGTCAACAAAGCGCTGCAAGAGTTTGTCACGCCTCAGTCGGTCTTATTTTTCTGCCGTGCACCATTGCACATCTCGTCTTGTATCTCTTTTGGCATGTTTCCACCGTCGTCGGCAAGATATACTTTTGAGCCTCGTCTCATGTGTGCACGATACTCCGTTCGCTATCGGCTGCTTTTCAGGCATCAACAAAGGCATGTTCACTTGCAGGTTGTCGGCCATGTTTCTGAGGGAACCTTGCGGCTCTTTAAAAGATTCTGTATAATACCAGCGTAGACGTAGGGATGGAGTCCGTTTACCGTTCAAAGCAAATCATATATCTAGACACAAACCGTTTTACCTTCTTTGTTCACGGTGAAATGTGAAGTTGTGGGTATCGTCGTTTGTTCTTGGCACTTGGAAGAGCTTCAACAAACTTTTGTTTCCATATCAGCCTCATACCGTTCCTTTCATCTCCCCTACATTTATCACCCCCTTCATCATGTCGGACGTCGTTGGGTCCGAGCTGGCCCGGCACTACGCCAATCTGGCCGACGTGGCCGCCAGTCCGGCCAACAAGTACGGCCTCGCCCACGGCTACGCCATCATGCCCGACCCCAATGACCCGTACGGGTGGCAGGTCTTTGAGGAAGAGAGGGCGCGGCAAAAGTGTCTTGCCGGCCTGGCCCAGCACCCGTCGCTGTGCACCTCCACAACGGCCGCGACGACAACTTCGACGTGCGGGGACAGCGACGGTGACGACGAGGATGACAGCGAGAGCAGCGACGACGACGACGACGATGACGACGACGACGACGACAATGACAGTCACGAGTGCATCTGTAAATGCGAAACAAAGACGAAGGAAAAGTGCAGCGGCGCATGGTGCAAGCGCCAGTCGCTGAGCTTTCAGCGGTCGAAGCCGCACTGGTGCGACGGCAAGAAATGGGGCGGCAAGATCTGGGGGCTGAGCCGTACGCCGGGAGATGTAAGTCACCGTGATAGCTTTGCTAGCTTTGCTAGCTTTGCTTCGTTCCCTAGCTTATCCGGCGCTAACTTTCCAGAGACGTGTGTCCAACTGGCTCCTGTACTTTGATCCCAAGGTCAGCAAGTCCGAGATCCAGGCCATCTGCCGGCGACGCTGTCCACCGGAGCCGCGCCGCCGCTCCCACAAGACCCGTCAGCGCCGAGGTCATCATCGTCGACGACGTGGCCAATGTCGTCATGGTCGCAGTCACTGCCCTGTGAAGACACAGATTGTCGCCTGCGGTGCCTGTCAGGGCATCGGCTGCGTGTACTGCCAGAACGGTGGAGTGCTCGTGCCCTTCGACTATGACTGCACAGGCGATGTAGGGTACGGAGCAGGGTACGGGACAGGGTACGGGACAGGGTACGGGACAGGGTACGGGACGGGCTACAGTGGCGACTACACTGGCTCCGGGGGCTATGGCTATTATGGGGCTGGTGGTCTTCCTGGTATGCCGCCGCATCGTGGCTACGCAGGTCACCCTGCCGGCAATTTGGAGCACTGGCGTGTGCACTCGGACAAGGACAGTAAGAAAAAGGAAAAGGAAAAAGACAAGGACAAAGACGGAAGCAAAAAGGGAAGCAAAAAGGGAAGCAAAAAGGGAAGCAAAGCTGGGAGCAAAGATGGCAGCGATGCAAAGGGAAATACCATGGCCGAGCTCGCTGGCCGAATGCAGACCATGAAGCGCAACGAAAAAGGATTTTGGGGCGGAGACTGGGAGAAGGCAGCCGACGGCATGTTGGGCATCACCGAGAGGGACCTGCGGGTGTTGGAGAAGGGCTACCAGCCCAAGGACAAGGACGGAAAAGGTGCCGGAGACGACGCAGCCAAGTGGCTGTGGGGACGGTTTGGCAATGTGGGAGGGCTGGGAGGAGTAGGAGGAGGAGGGGTCGGTGGCGCCAAAGGCGGTGGTGTGTTTTACGGCCGCGGGTACAGAGGCGGTGGCAGCATGTATACTGGAGGCGGCGGCGGCGGAGGCGGAGGTGGAGGTGGAGAAGGCGGGACTCTCGGACAAGGCGGTGTCGACGGTAGTGGCAGGCCAAGAGGTGGTGGTGGCGGTGCCGAAGGAGGCAGCCGCAAGGCCAGGAGCGTCAACGGAAGCGGAACTGGCCGTGCTGATGAAGAAAGTACCTCGGCAACTGGAAAGAGAGACAGCGGAGGCGAAGGGCCTAGCAACGTGTCTGCAAGAGACACTCGCAGTACCAGCCGCCAAGATAGCCAGGGAAGCAGACAGAGCAAGGGAAAAGAAAAGGAGACGGCTGGCATTGGCGACGGGGATCTGGACGCTGCTGTGGCAAGCGCCAGTGCAAGCCACGACCCACCGAGTCGTCACTCACCGCGCCAGCACGCATCCCGCCAGCATTCCACCCCTCCCAGGCCAAGGGCGCAACCGCCAACGACGAAGAACGCCAGTCTCGCTTCGAACGTCTGCGCCAGCGCCTCGACGATGCCGGCCGGCTCCGCACGGGGTCGTGGGAGCGTGTCTCGCCGGCCGTGCAGCGCGAGCGCGAGTGGCAGCGGCAGCAGGCGATGAAGGAGGAGTGGCAGAAGATACAGGCCGAAGAGCGTCGTTCCAGCCGCAGTGGTGGTGAGGGAGCCAACGGTAGCAGTACCAGCAGCGGCAACAGCGGCGGCAACAGCGGCGGCAACAGCCCCTTGCTGTGCGTCGAAGAAGACGAGCACGAGCGGACCATCCTGAACCAGCTGCTTATGTCGGACGAGGGCAGCTCACGCCGCAACCACAGCCCCCCGTCGCCGGCCGAGTTCGTGACGCGCGTTGACGGTGCACAGTACCCATTGCATCCGGAGCACCTGGCAACGCTTGCTCGGCGTCGAGGCGTCTCGGACACTGTGTCGTATGTCAGCCTCGCCAGCACTGCCTCGGCGCCAGCACCAACGCGCTCACCTCCGGCTCAGAGCATGTACGGCGCACACTCAACCAGCGGCGACACGGGCTATGAGACGGGCCACGACACAGGCGAAACCGGCCCGACCGGCGACGCGAATGCAAGCGTCTTTGCCGGCCGATTCAGCGATCCAGGATATGGCTCTCTGTATGACATTCCAGGATATGCCGACTATGCTGGATTCCCCAACTCTTCTGGCTATGCGGGATGGGATCCCGAGTGCGCCGACAACGCCGCCTGGGGTGGAGTGTCGTCGTCGTCGTCGACGTTGCAGCCGTCGAGTGAGCGGACGAGCAGCAAGAAGAGCATGTCCGACGGGAAGAGAGAGGTGAAGAGAGGAGGAAAAGAAAAGGGGAAAACTGAAAAGGGGTCGAAAGGGGGTGAGGCTAAAGACGATGCTAAAAAGGGAAGGAAGAAGGTCAAGGGAAAGGGGAAGGAGAACAGTAGGAAGGAGCCGACCAGCGCGAAGGACAGGAAAAGGAAGGAGAAAGAAAAGAAAGACAAGAAGAAGAAGAACGGCGGAAAGAGCGAGTCGCCGTCATCGTGGACGACATGTTCATCGTCACGTGGTTCGCATTCCCATTAGGTGAAGGACGGTGATGCATTGTGATGTCGTCGTTTTGATGTCCAACGCTCCAGTTTAGGGTTGACTTGGTTTCTCCTGTTACAAATTTCTCTCGTTTAATGTTGTACACGCAGCACCAGTTTGCGTCGCAGCTGCAAGTGGTTCCAATCTGCGGCCAAATTCACAAGTCCCTATTCACAGTTCGCCATTACGAGGTCACTCTCGCTCTCAATTAAAGCAGTGGACAAGGCCCAAGACACTGCCGCGCCGGTTGACTCACATGGCAGGTCGGTGCCATTAAAATCTCCAAAAACGTGGCAGTGCTGCGGGCGGCAATATGGTCGAACAGAGAGGTTGCTTGTGGTTGACGTTTTGGCGCTTTTAGGCTCAGGAGGGGCTTATCGATAAGAACAACCAACGTCCCAAACCTAAACGACACTCCCAGCGCCAACACGACGGCCTCGATATTGCTCCGCCTCGCCTCTTGACAAAGCAACGTTCCACGGTCGACTGTTGTGGACGTATAAAGGTCTCTGTGTTCGTTTTGCCTCTGCTCTCGTTTGGGATCGCCAATCTGAAGACTGCATTCTTTCTCGTCGACCTTGACACCATAGTCTCGTCGCTCCGTCCAAAGCTTCGTATTCGTTTCGTTGCAACGGACACCTCGACATCGCCCGCCTCACAGTCCATACCTCGAGCTGCAATGGCAGACCGCAAGGAGGAGTTTCTGCGCCGGCCGCTGTACATGTTCGGCCTGCCGGCCGATGTCCTGTCTACACTCGCGCCCGTCCCCAAAGACCGCACAACTGGCGTCGCAGCCCTGTCGTACTCGTCAACACCGGGCCGGTCCAACACGCCAGGGCCCAGCGAAGCGACGGATGCAGCGTCCGACGTTGGTAGCGACGTCACCGTATCCGGCGAGGCCTGCGCACTCTGCAATCTGGCGTTTGCGTCCCACACCGACAAGCGCGACCACTTCAAGTCCGATCTGCACCTCTTCAACCTCAAGCAGAAGCTGGCCGGCAAGCCACCCGTGTCGGAAGACGAGTTTGAGCGCCTAGTCGGCACGCTCGACGAGAGCATATCGGGCTCCGAATGGTCCGAGTCGGACTCACTGTCGGATCTAGAAGAGGAGGAGGACGGCGACAACGACGAGAACGACACAAAGAGCGTAGCTGGCTCCGTCGGCTCGACCACGACGTCCACGACGACCACGAGCACAAACACCAATGTTCTGGCCTCGCTGCTCAAAAAGCAGGCTGTCCTCGCCGAGAAGAAGAAGAAGCGCCGGTCACAACGAAACGACGACGGCGACAGCGGGTCGGACGCCGGCGGCACGACGCCGGTCAGTCAGCCCAAGACCCACAAGCAACGCCAGCGAGAGGCCGCTACGGCGGCCTCCCTGCACGCGCTGATCTGGTTCAGTTCGCCCCTGCTGCCCGCCAACAGCTACTTTGGCGTCTACCGGGCCATGTTCACGGCCGAGGAACTGTCACCGCCCGCCGACCCGGCGACGGGCAATGTGCCCGCAGAGGAGGACGAGGCCGAGCGGTCGGCGCGGCTCCTCAAGGCCATCCACTCGCGCCAGCTCCCTCCCATGCAGCCGCCGCCCAACAACGCCGCCGCCGCCGAAAAGGCCGCTGCGACCTACGCGGGGCGTCACGTCTTCATGTGCATGCTCGGCGGCGGGCACGTCGCCGCCATGGTCGTGGCGCTGGCCCCGCGCAAGGCCAAGGCGGGCACCGTGCCCATGAACCGTGAGGCCACGGTGCTCGCCCACAAGACGTTCCACCGCTACACGACGCGCCGCAAGCAGGGCGGCAGCCAGTCGGCCAACGACGCGTCCAAGGGCGCCGCCCACTCGGCGGGCTCCACGCTGCGCCGGTACAACGAGAAGTCGCTCGTCGAGGACGTGCGCGCGCTGCTGCGCGACTGGAAGCCGCTGCTGGACTCGGCCGACCTGCTGTTTGTGCGCGCCTCGGGCACCGCCAACCAGCGCACCCTCTTTGGGCCCTACGAGGACCAGGTCCTGCAGCGCAACGACCCGCGCCTGCGCAGCTTCCCGTTCAACACGCGCCGGCCGACGCAGAAGGAGGTGATGCGCTGCTTCATCGAGCTGACGCGTCTCAAGGTGCGGGAGATTGTGCCGGGCGGCGGCGAGGACACCGGCAGCGGTGGTGACAGCGGCACACAGGCTGTGCCGCCGGCGGCGGCCGCACTGACGGCCGAGCAGCGCCTGCAGCGCCAGCAAGAGCGGCGCGAGGCGGCCAAGCGCGCCGAGGCGGAGGAGACGGCGCTCATGCACACGACCCAGCTGCAGGCCCTCGCCCGCCGCTCCAAGGTGCCCGCGCTGCTGGCCTACCTCAAGACCAACGGCCTGGAGGCCGCCACCTACCGCTTCGCGCCGCCCGGCGCCGCCCAGCACCACCACGCGCCCACCTTGCTGCACTACGCGGCCTCACAGAACGCGCCCGCGCTTGTGAGTGCGCTCCTGCTGCGTGCCGACGCCGACCCCACCGTGACGAACGGCGACGGCAAGACGCCCTTTGAGCTGGCCGGTGACCGCCCCACACGCGATGCCTTCCGCGTGGCCCGCGGCGAGCTGTCGTCTTTGTCGTCTTTGTCGTCTTTGTCTTCTGCGTCGAAAACGATTGACTGGGACGCCGCGCGTGTCCCCTCGGCCATGACACGCGCCGAAGCCGACGAGCGCGAGTCCCGTGAAAAGGCCGAGGCTGCCCGCAAAGAGACGGAGCGGCGGCGCGCCGAGGAGACGCGTCTGAAGGAAGAGGCGGCCGCGGAAAAGGCCGCGTCGGCCAACAGCGGCGGTGGCGGCGGCAAGCGCCTCGTCGGCGTGCTCAAGTCGGCGCAGGAGATCCGCGAAGAGGAGGCACGCGGCCTGACGCCCGAGCAGCGGCAGCGGCTGGAGCGCGAGCGGCGGGCACGTGCTGCTGAGGCACGCCTGCGACAGATGCAGCAGGGAACGTAATGGGGTGTTGTGTAGCATTTTGGTTGTTTCCATGTTCTGGTTTGGTCGTTTACGGCAAATGGTTCATAGAGAAATGGTTTTGGATACGTGATCCAAATCGGCGTTATGGAATGAGAAGCATATTTGATTATGTTCCTATGGCTAACTGATAGACTCTTAAATCTTATTTTTAATTATTCAGGTGTGCGTGGAAATTTTTTGTTTATTATAATTTATGCTCTCTGTTTAATGATTGTTTACATGGTATTGTTTGCTGGGTACGAACAAAATGTCTCATATAATTATCATGATTTTTAACGTAAAACATCCGAGACCAAAACAAAATACAACAGAAATACAGATATAAAAGAAAATAAAACAAATAATAAATACGATCACATAATATCACTCCCATCCATGGTCCCCTCACACAAAACATGCAACCCAAATATTACCACAGTAAACACATCCCTCCGTCCCAAAGGACCTACCGAAGATGAAACATAGTAGAATGATTGAAAATAACGCCAAAGGTGAACGACCAGTACCGTGAGCCAAACCACATCCGCTCCAACGTAGGCACATATTTTCCATTATAACCAACAAAGGGCCAAACATCATCATCGACCCACTACAACGCCCACGCATCTCAAATCTGCGTCCCGAAGACCAAGAACTGGAAAAGAGAAGAGTTTTCTTTTGAACAGACACAAAAACACCAACACGAAACGCACCGAGACCGTCTTCCTTGATCAACAAGGATCTCTGCTTGCGAACCGTCTAGAAGTTGTGGTCTCCCGAATATATACACACACCCTCCTTCATATGGCAAAAGCCATCGAGGATCGCAAGAAACCGAGGCCATCCTGGTAGAACCTTGCAAGGAAAGACTGCGTCGTAGGGATAGCATCGTTGACAGTCCAGACTGGTCGAGTCGTGGTCGTCGCTGTTCACACCCCCTATTCCTTCGGCGATGGCCTGGGCTGAGCAGAGTCGCACAAGTCACGACGAGGTACCACAGGCCTCCCTGTTTTTTTTTTTTTTTTGTCTATTTCCCATGCCAAGGAAAACGTGCCTTGCAAGACAAGAATACGAGCTCAGCCTGGCCGCCGAACTGTCATGCAGAGACGTATCACTGCTCTGCCACCTCCTTTCCTCTCACCCTCCCAAAGTCATGCACCCCGGCACACCTTTGCCTACTTACACAGCCACCACAGAGCATTTTCAACGACGCTGTTCAGACCCGGCTCTTAATTTCCACCATGCAGCATTTTTGTACTCTGACTTTTGCTTAGACCTTATCCCATTTCAGGCCTTTCTTTGTTCTTGGCCAGCCTGTCGGCCATCTCCATGCCTTCAGTTATTCCTGAGTCTGTTCGTATTGGCTTATTGTCACACCGTGATCATCAGCAACGAAAAGACACAACAACCGTTTCATTGTCTGACTTCCCATTATAATTTAGTCAAGGAACTCCATCTCCGCTCCGAGGCATACTGGCCAATTCACGCGGAAAGGCTGTTTCCTCCTCGCTGCCGCACACACTCTAGCTGTACTGGAAGGGACTAGATGGGGGTGGTCCGCTCTTTCTTTTCGCCTTTCCCAGTTGCTCCTGCAACCGAGTGCCAATATGCCGTACTGGGACCGAAACAGGATACCTGAGAGATACTTTGGGTCGTTATGTTGTCACTACGTTTCGGCTTACACCTGTTCCCTAGCAATCGACTTACGTTGTACTTACGCTGCGGTATTTCCAACATGACCTCACTAGCTGCGTTGTCTGTGGAGGATGGAAGAACCGGCGTGCTTCAGGTTTCCTCGATCTTTCCTTGTCCACAACCTGGACGGAAAAAAAAAGCCTTGATTTTGATGGTGGGACGTTTTTGGATTCAGACGCACCGCCGTCCGAGTTGCCAGAACCCGCGATTCCACTTTTATAGGAGGGAGTCTGGCTTCTGTGAGAAGGAAGCTAGCTGAAGAACTAACCAACACGCGAGGGCCGGAAACAGCTCCCTACAGGGAGGTATCTTTCTGGACGCTCGCAGTTGCCTATGGTCA